ATGTATTGTCTGCAAAGACCAAAACCTTGAAGACAATCATAAGCTGGGTAGCTATAAATGCCCTTCCGTCACTGCACAACTAAGGAAACTAAGGAAAGGAAACAAAGAATACCTAGGAACCCTCAAATTAATTTACGCAAAGAAAAGACCTCCCAAGACCTACTCATTCAAATGGCAAGTGAAAGACTGGTGAATGTCTTACTGGTCTGTGAGCAGCACGATATTGACGACATATCCCTCTACCAGGACACGACCAGACGAGCAGGAATTATAATACTTAACTCCAAAATAAGTCTCTAAATTTAAAGTTACAAATCAAGGTTTTATATGGGTAGAAATGGACAGCCTTATAATATATAGTTGCTATTTCTCCCCAAACAACCGAATAGAGAAATTTAAGAAGCAAATCGATGAACTGGAGGCAAGCATGAACTCAGCCCCAGGAGAAATAATATTGGCTGGAGACTTTAACAGCAAGTCCTCGGAATGGGGCGAAAGCAGAACTGTTCGCAGAGGCGATATTGTTTGCGAATTTCTGGCTAGGAAGGACCTGGTAGTCCTATACACAGGGAGCTCATGTACATTTCAAAGGGGCGCAGCTTCTTCGATAATAGACTTAACAATAGGAACCACAAGGATTTCCAAAGATGTCCTGGATTGGCAGGTTCTCGACGCTGAAACACTTAGCAATCACCGCTACATTGAATTCTCCACTTCATCCGCTGGAAACAGGGCTAGAAGAAGGAATCAGCCAAACATGGGTCCATCTTGGAACACCAAAAAGCTGAAAGAAGCTGATGCCATAAAATTCCTTGACGAAGCTAAATTACTGGAGTCCTTGGGGTGGAGTAAAAGGAAAAGTGCAGAGTCCCTCGAAGAGGCAATTACAAAAACCCATAGATTTTGGAGGAAGCATAAGGGCCTAGAACTGTTACTGGATGTAGTATTTATGTGCATATGAATACACAATAAAAGAATTTTACTAAACATTTTCAATACTAAACCACTACAAATATTACAATATCAAATGAAAAGACAACTGTTCACAAAATGTAATGGTTGAGTATGTCTTGAATGGTTTAGAACCTGTAGGAATTACTGAAGGAAAATTAAATACCTTGAAGATTGTTCTTCAGTTTCTGCTTTTCTGGTTCTGTACAATCTTTTTCAATGGCATTGACTTGCTTTATTATTTCATTTAAATTGTTCATGTGAAAAGCTTTTATTTCATTTTCAAATTGCTAAAAAGGGAAAAACATACAAATTCTTTCAGTTTTTCCATTCTTACAGAGAAATCATATATTAGAAAGATATTAGGATAAAAAAGCTGATGATTGTTTTATATTTTTCTACATTTCTGTGATAGGGGAAAATAAAGTCTTTGAAAACAAATAGATCCTGCATAAACTCGGGAGGAAAAAAAAATTGAGTTATTAATAAACTATCTTTTTACAAAAATGAGCCATTTTAAAATTTCTAATATTATCATAAAACTTTTTTATGCATGGCATTTTGAAGAGGAAACTTTTTTATTAGTCAAAGCTGAAGTTGTAACTATACTACAGTCAGATAACATAAAACTAAAAGACAAGAAAATGGAAATAAAAGCAGGAAAATGGAAACATTGAATCTAATTTACTTTCTGTTAAAATATCAGAAAATATAATAATTAATAATTCTGATAATTTCTTTAGTTTATGTTCTTTATTGCAGAAGCTAGAATTCTAAAATTAAATTTGAAATTATGTCACCTTGAGCAGCTGATATTCTGCTTCAATTGCAGAAACACGTAGAGGGACATATCCTCCTAATTTTTTAAATTCACCATTTTTGGCCTTCAGCCAGTTACGTGCAGCTTCAATATCTGCCTCCAGTTTACGACGGGCATCTGTTGCTGCTGCCACATGCTCCTGTTCTGCCTTCAAAGCTGCTAGAAGATTGCTGTGATCAGAGGTAAGTGATAACAATTGACTTTCTAAGACCTGCTGCTCATTAGGCTCCAATTCCGCTTGCATATTATTTAATCGCTTCTCAAGAGTTTCTAAGAGAACTTTCTTGCCCTCCACTTCCTTGACCAGAGACTGAAACACAAATGTTTACATTGAATAATTTTCAAAAAAATTGGTATGCATTTAAAAGTTATGTAAAATACCTTCAATGCTTGCTGCCGATCTTCTGCAGCTTTGCTTTCAAAGCCAAGTGGAGGGGGAGCTTGAACAAGAGCCATTTTCTCAAGTATCCATGTGCGGGCACTTTCTATTTCTTGGCGAGCTCCTTCTAAGCCTTTGTGTGTTAATTTAAGGACCTGAGACTTGCGCTGGATTCTCTTAGCAATATCATTGTATCGCCGTTCAACTGACTTGAGCTATTTTTAAAATGTTAAAGACAAAAATTAATACAGGTTGAAATATTTTATAAGTTCAATATTTATGTTTACAGAAATATTTAAAATAGAGATCAATACTGAAGAATTAAAAATCAGTATTAAGGTAATGCACAACAGGAAGCAATAACAACTGTACAAGGATGATTCAAGAATATTCAGAAGTAGAGACAAACAGAACAATCATTGAATAAATAATCTATACTGACATTAAAGCTGTTTCTTTCTTACTTTTCTTTCCTGAAGCAAGTGTAATCAGTAATCGTATAAACTGTATCCCTTAAATGCTATCTATAAATAAATTGTATTCCTTCTTTTCTTAATGATGATGGTGACACAGAGCACATAAAATTATCACAAAAAAAAAAGCATATGATGTAATTCCATTCACATTTGTCTAGTTGAACTTAAAATTTAAGACTGCAGTTTTACATAAATATAAATTTCAATTTCACAATGACATCATACCTGTTCTTCTACTTGTTGAGCATCTAGGTTGCTGGTGATATCCATTACTTTTAAACCAAGTTGTTTTACTTCTTCCACTTTTGGTGATGCCTCATTATTAAATATTTTCTCTATATCAGCTAATGCTGATATTTTTTGGGCACAATCAAGTCCATTTCCTCTATCAAGTTCTTCTATTCTCTTACTCAACGTATCCAGAAAGCTATGAATATCATTTATTTTCTGCCTAAATTCCTCAATTGTTTGCTGGCCAGTATCTTTCTTACCACGAACAGCAGTTAACTATAAGAAAATTAACAAAAATATATGAGACATTTTAAGATACATTTAAAATATGCAAATTATTTTCAAATTCAAATAAATATTAAGCTACCTAAAGTACTATTACATTGTTACCTTGTTTTCTAGTTGATTAAGTTCCTCCAGTAAATTGGAAGTGTTTTCTCCAGCTGGTAATTCATTCCTCAACTTTTGTTGGCGTTCTTTTATGGCAGATTCTAAATCCTTCATGGCCTGTTGTTCAGCAACAGCAGCCTCTGGACGCAATTTCAATGGTCTACTGCCCCAGTCTTGTACGATAGCTTGTTGTTCCACAATCCACTTCTGTAATGCTTCACAATACCTTTGACCTTCCTCAAGTTCGCTTACAAGATTAGTAAGAGCAGACATTTGACTCTGGACCTGGCAAAACAAATTTAAGAAAATTACATTTCAACAGTTTTGTACTGCAGAAGTGCATTTGGGGAAAATTATCTAGATGAATGAATTTAAACTTCATTTTTATTATAAAATACCTTAACTATTTCTTTTTTATAATGATAACATTAAAACAACAATAATTTATTAATTTCCTTTCGAAACTACAGTGAACCCTCTATTTTGTAGAACCTACTTTTACTGTAAATGCACATTGAAGTAAAACATTTTTGATCTCAAAACTACTGCCATAAAACAATGCATTTTTATTTCTGGTTTAGTGATTTTTACTTTCACATAAAACCCACATCTAAGGTAAGTCAGTCATACTCAACAGCAGCTCAATAGAACACAATATTTTTAGACCAGTGTTTGCTCTTTCTGACAAGTTACACAAGTGCCTTAGAGCGGAGAAAGAAAAAAGCACAAAAACAAATTGCAAATTGGGTTCACCATGATTTATACAAACATTTTTGCTGTTATGGATCTGAGTACATGCCCTAAGTTCCTGTTTCTCACAGTGTTTACTTTCCCCCTGCTGTGCAAATCGCTGATCTTGTCATTGAACATAAAAATGAAAGTAAATTGTATATTTAAAATGTGTACTTTTTGCTCTTGAAATTACCAAAGAAACTTCATTGGGTGTGAACCCTCATTTAAAGTAAAAAAAAAAGTTGATGCCCAGGATACTAAACAGAGGGTTCATTGTATAATGTATTTGGTAATTTTACTACTATTAATAACCAAAGATGTTTTTATGTCTAAAAATGTTTTAAAATGGTTATATACACAACTTTTGACTAATGACATTTGATTTGAATAGTTTTTTGAACCAAAGTAACTTAATGTAACTTGTTTTTGCTACTTTTGGAATTATAGAAGGAATCACCTCGATTATACAATTTGCAACTTAAACATTATTTTCTCTATCTTTATCTTCTCATTCAAATTTTAGTCCTCAGTTACTCCACATTTTGAACATTTTTAGCCCGTATGTGTCCACATATTTAGGTACATGTTATTCCTTATAAAAACTAGCCCAGGCAATCACTAAGTATTTATTAAGAATCTTTTTATCTGTAATATATTTGATTTTATGACTAAATATTATCATTTGGCATATTTAGTGAACTGTCAAAAATGTGCAATTTATGTAATGGGTTGAAGGTAGATTTGTTTGTTCAAATTGTTTCTTACATGAGGTCTTTGTATTGAAATTTAAATGGAGTTGTAGATTACAATCTTATTTTGTTACTTCATAAATGAAATGTTAAGAAAATTTTTGTATATTTATTGTCAATAGTTTTGTGTTTCCTTGATATTCTATTCACATGACAACAGTTTTGTATTTTTTTAAATGTTTAAAATAACTGCACGCCTGTTTAAAATAAAATAAACTTTATATGGAACTTATTTACCCTATACACTAAGAAATCCAAAGGACCATTCAGCTTATTGTTCAAAACTTAAGTAATAAAATTAAATAACTTTATCTCCTTAAAAAAAAAACATTTTTCAAGTGTTCACAATTGAATTTCTACCCACATTACACAAAACTATCTGTTGTGACAGCTCAGTGGTTTCATAGAGGCTTCATGAGCCTCAATTTTGCAGGTTCAAGCCCAGTTAAGGTCATCTTTTTAAACCATTACCAGCATTTAAAATAATTTTAGATTTCACAGTATCAAAGCATTCTATATCAGCATTACATGACCACTGACAATAAGAAAAACATAACTTTACCTGGTCAATGAAATCTTCAAGACGAGCACGTACTAAAAGTTCACTGTCCGGAATAGGAGGAGGCATTGTATCTTGAGGACTGCTCGGACGTGAGATACATGCAGCAGCAGCTTCACAAGCTTGAACAGCAACTGCCAAGCGAGACTTTTCTGCTTGAAGTTTATTATGGAGCTCCTATAACAAAGTTTTAACAAATTTCAAGATATTCATCGAAGCCTCTATGAGAAAATATTACAGCTCTGTGGTTTCATAGAGGCTTCATGAGCCTCAATTTTGCAGGTTCAAGCCCAGTCAAGGTCATCTTTTTAAACCATTACCAGCATTTAAAATATTTTTAGATTTCACAGTATCAAAGCATTCTATATCAGCATTACATGACCACTGGCAATAAGAAAAACATAACTTTACCTGGTCAATTTTCTATTGAAAATTATTAGTAATTTAACACATGAATAACAGGGACTACAAAAAAGAAATTCAGTGACAATGACAAAATATTACAGAAATCACAAGCATGACCCTATTAACCAGTAATGTCAGCTAGCTTTTAAGAAAAGGAGTTACAATTGATAATGAAATAGATAAATATAGGTGCAAGTAAGGCAAGTGCAGACGAAACAATGCAAGGAGGTTGAGGTTATCAATTGATAACTGAATGACAATGATGCCAGTGGTGTTCATTTGACGACGTTGTTGTTGCCTTTACTGTCATTGCATATTTTACATAAATGAATGCCCCCCTGACACACACAAAATTCTCAGAACATATCATCACTGATCAGACATTAGTGTTTCCACATTCCATGTATTGAAAGAAAATCTGTCTCTCCAGAGATGAGATGAGTATTGTATCCACTGTGTAAAAAAACCGTTTGAGCCCAACTGTCTATGTCCATGGGACAAAACATTGACCATAGGGAGCAGCCCTCACAATAGGACTCCTCTTCCTCTCATGAGGAAGCATCTGATTCTGCACTTCAGATTCATATTAGAAGATTATTTGATGGAATAGAAGGACTTCTTTCCAGGCATTCTTTATATATTGACTTTTTTACATTTTTGCTTATTTGTAATCGGACAATAGAAATGCAGTTTAAATTCTTATATTTAATATATATAATAATATATATATATATATATATATAATAATATAAATATATATATATAATATTATAATTATAATCTTCTCTTTATATTAATATATTTAAAGATTTTGCATGATTGTGAAAATCATCCTCCCTCAAATTATATTTATCCATGGAGACAAATATGCCTTTTAACAAATTTTATTTTGTTAAAGTACAAACCACACACAAGAATTCAATTGGCCTCTGTTGAGTTGACTGCCAAACATAAAGGAAAAGGCTAGAAATAACAATCAAGTAATATCTGAGAAAAGCTATGAGAGGGAGAGAGAAAAAGGAAGAGAGAAGAAAGAGATACTACTTCTTGATTTTCTTTGTTAATTATTGATATTAATATTTTCCTCATTAATATTATAGATTTACTTACACGTGTTTCTTCTAAAAGCTGATGAGTGAGAGCCAAGTTTCCAACTGGTGGCTGAAAGTCCTTGGTAATTAATTGTTCATAGACATCTAAATTCTTTTTTATGCTTTCCAATGTTTCCTCATATTCTTGAAATTTAGCCAAAGACTCCATTAAACGTTTCTGAAAGTAGAAAAAATACATAAATAATTCCATGATCAGGTGCCTCTACTTCCTCTGATGAAGAAAACATTATTTATTACCTTGATCTGTATAGCAGTGTGAAGAAGAGAGTTATAACTGTCCTGCACATTATTAAGTTGTTTCTCAATTGTTTCTTGAATGGATGGTGTGGAACTCACATAACGCTTAATTTGACCATGTCCTTTAGCTCTTATATCATCCAAAACAGCTTGATATTTCTGAATATCTTCAAGCAAGGCCTAAGAATAAAAAGTTAATAGCAATACATATTAGTAAAATATATCAAAAGAGGAAAAAACCTAGAAGGAAATTCATTAAGGATTTACAAGATAAAGTGGTTTTCTGAAATAAAAAAGAGGCTTACCTCATGCTGCTGGATTTGTTCTAAGGTTTGTTGTTTATTTGTTATGTACAAAGAATTGTGGGCCATTAAAGTGAAAGATGTTTGTAAGATCCATTTTTCTGTGTTCTGCAGTGAATTGTGATAGGCTGTATATTCCTAAAAAACAAAAAGAAAAGTGTTACTATAGAATTATATTTATTTAGTAAGTAAAATTGATTGTTTCATTAAATTTTAAGTTTAATTTAAAGAAAAGAAGAAGAAGATGCTCTTTTTCATATTTTTAACTAGTTCATTATTATAGGTAGCTTGTATTTCTAGAAAACTGTTTGAAGTCATCCTTGTACTTTTCAGTTCTAGCAGAAACCCTTTAGACTGTCAAGGAACTGATCTTCCAAAAAAAGACTAAAGAAAATTATGGTACCTAACAGTGAAAATATTTTTTTTATTTTTTTATTTGCCACTGCTGGGATTTAAAAATAGGACCTTTCAGAGTAAGAAGTCCTAATTGTTAGTTCACAACCACATACATGATTGTACCTACAATGTTAGAAAGTATTCAAAACAAAATAAAAAATTAAGGCAAACAACAAGCAGAATGATAGAATGTGGGTTTGAATTACACATGGCAAGCAAACTTCTGTGCTCCAAGTCCTGAGTTGAAGTGTGAATTTATTCTACATGATACCCTAGGTGGTATTACTTTTGCTGCTGTTTTCAGTTTATGATTTTAAAATTGTAATAATTACTGATAGGCAAGTTTTGAAGTTCAGGACAATTAAAGCATTAAATATGTTATTCAATTGCCAATGTTTTAGCTACATATTTAATCTTTACTAGGACTATTCAAATGTTAGTTGGACATACATAATACTTACTCCAATTTCTAACTCAAGGGCTTCTTGACATGTCACACAACGTCTAGACAAATTATCCCAACGAGATTGCAACTTTTGTACTTCTTCCAGTACTGTTGGCTGAGACGCCCACACTGCAAGTTCCGCTGCTTCAGAGAGCAGATGATCTAAATCTCCTTTTTTGCTATTAACCTCAGCTTGAAGATGCTATAAAATAAAATAATCTTTCACATTTCTACTCTTTTGAAAATATATCTGAAAGATCAAATTTAATAGTAAAAAGTTTGTTGATCCATGTGGCTACTCAAAGCTTTATATTCTTAACAGAGGTTTGTTAAAACCATCAAAAAGTAAGCTTCCTTAACTTAGAAAATGCTTTAAATAAGCTAATAATATAATAATAATAATAATAATAATAATAATAATAATAATAATAAATATTAATAATAATAACAATAATAATAATAACAATAATAATAAACAATAATAATAATAATAATAATAATAATAACAATAATAATAATAACAATAATAAATAATAATAATAAATATTGATAATGTTTTGTAAACAATTCAATAATGGCAATAATGGAAGCATTTAAAAACACTTAACGTTCATTCTAATATAACATTACCTTAAATCTTTCTATGAGCGTTTTCATTTCACCAAGTTCTCCTTTGGTATCTGGTGTTTCTTTCAGTGTTTCTTCCATATTGCTCATCCAAGTTTCCAGTTGAGATTTTTGTTCATTATATTCTTCCCATCGAGATAGTGCAGCCTGAAATAATGTTCCAGTTATTATAGTTCATATCATTCACATAAAAATATAGAAACTTAATTCTGGAACAAATTTAATGCAAAAGTAGAATGAGACAGAGGTGAGTAATAATCTACGGACCAAATAAAACAGGTACTGAATTTAATTTACTATGCTTGTCATCCATCTCTTTCTTCTTATCTACAAAATTCTATAATAATCTCTGAACTACAAGAATTAACTATTACTTTTTAGAGAATTTGTCTTTTTCAAGATAACTAAATAACTTGTTTAGTGATACAGTGACATTTTAATATTTTTTTCCGTATTCAATGCAAAAATTCTTTGAAAGGAAACAAAGATACGTCATAGGATGATAATGTTACACAGAAACTGAGACAAAGCATCAAATTAGATTGTGAAGAAAAAGCATTTGAAAGAATTGGCACAAAACTCGAGAGACATCTTTCATGTACAACAATTTCAGCCCAATAATCTCCTACTTTTACTATAGGCAGCCCTAATATATAAACCACATGGACAGAGATATAGGAAAACCAAGAAAGAAGGGGATCATGCATCATGTACACTGAAATATTTCCAGTCTACTGCTTAACTAGGGACAGGTCCCCTGACCTTTCATCTTGAAATACATAATGACGATGATGATAATCACTTTTACTCTACAGAAACCCACTAATAATTGAGAGTCACAATGGATATCAATACAGTATCCGTACTTCATTACATTATCACTAAAAAAAAAGCTCCCAAATTACTTAAATACTGAAGAATATTTCAATGGTGTAATGTTGGATACAATCATTATTTATGAGAAAGAAAATTATGATAAACTAATTTTTTTTTTTATACTGATAGATTCAGACTAGACTAAATGGATTGGATCCATTTCTTTCTCTCCTTTTTAAAATTCTGTTATTTCTCAAGCAAAACAAATATATACAGTAAAAATTAAAAATAGGAAGAAGTTAATCTTTTGATTCATTTCTATGAAAGTAACACTTGATTTATGAAATAGGAAATTAATTGTTTGATTCTGTAATGTGTAAAAAGAAATCACACAAAAATCAGTGTTTGTTAGACTCAGAAACATGTTCACTTAATAAGTATTGGAGTGAATATTAAAGAAACTTACTTTGAGCTGTGCCATAACAGAGGTCAAATCCATATTAAGCTGATCCCAGCTGTTACGTAGTTGCGTCATGTCCTCTCGCAAATTATCCTGGTGATCAGCTGGAGCAGTGTTAATTGCTTTAGCAAAAACATCTTGCATTACAGACATCAGATGCTGACCTTCAGTCATTCGAGTTGACACCAGCTAAAATAGATTTTATGTAACATTGTAGAATAATAATAGTAAATGGAAATTAAAATAAGTTTGCAGATGAATAAATGTATACAGAACAATCTATAAAATATTGAAAGAAAATGTATTTAAAAATGAGCAACTCCCTAGAAGATTGGTGGCATTTGAATGATTGACAAATAATATTTTATAAACCACACAATTCCATCAAAAGATGCAGTTAAATTTCTTTGCACACTGAGTTATTTTCTGGCAAGTACCTGAATTGTTTCCAATTTGTCACGAGTAACAGTTTCATTGCCAACTCCAATGCAGTCTTGTACTGTTCCATGAGCCCTTTTCAACCACGAATCAACTTCCTCTTTAGCCTTCAAGAATTCTGTATGATCTGACAAATTCTTTTCAGCTCGAGAAACTAACACCTAAAATGATAATTCAGTTATAAAAATTATCCAAAACTGAACTCTCACTAGCTACCTTCATTTGCGAAATCATATTGCCAAAGTTATTACCTGAATACTAGTAAGCAAATTGGTATAGAGTCCCTGTAATTGAACAGTTTGATCGCGAACCCAACTGCAAGCACTGAGTTCCATCAAAGTTTCACAACGATCATTTAGTCCTTCCATTACAACTTTCTGCTGAATTGCTTCTTGAAGAAGAGCCTGCAATTACAAGACAGATCCATGTTTTTAATGTAATGATACAAAGTATACAAAACACCTTTAAATTAAGAAACATATTTTGTAATTAAATTAAGTAATATATCTTGAAATTGGAAATAAACTACATTTCCAAACACAAGCTTACACAAATACAAGTTGTAAACAAAGTCATACATACACATTACACATATTATGGGGGAAAATTCATCTACATTCATGGTTTATGAGAAAATAAAAACTTTCTTCATAACTAAGTTGGCTTAAATGAGTTAGCCAAACACCAAAGTCAAAAAACATAACTTTAAAACTTATGAAAATTAATAAAATATTATTTACCATTAAATAAGATGTCAGAAGAAATCCATACATGAAATCCAATAAATTACTCAAATGCAACATGATGAACATTAACATTCTACAGTTTATAACACAAATAAAATTTAATTTTGAGATCAAATTATACTTTACCATGACATAGAAGAAAGAGAAATGCCAACCAACAGAACAAATTGCACTTTATGCAATTGCACTTTTTTGCAATCTATACAGCAAATTACAACTTAAAAGCAAAATTTTGTCAAAATATTAGACATTTTAAACAGTGTAAAATACTTACTCTACACTTTTGTAGTTCATCGGGTGTTTTCTTCTCTTCCTCATTCTCAGCAGCAACTTTAGCTTGAAACTCTCCTAACCAGTCTTTCATACTATTAAACGTATTAGTGAAATCATTCCAAACAGCAATACACTTTGACAACATTTTCTCAGTTTCTTTACTCATAACTTGTAAACTCTGCCAATCAGTTTTCAGCTGCTGAATGTCTTGACGTAAAGCATCTTGAGCTTCTGCTCCAACAGAACTCATCACAGTAGCACTCAGTTCTGATGCATGTTCAACTAATCTTTCACCTGGATAGAAGTTCTTTAGTCAGTCTTTTGTCAAATATTTCGAGAACAAATAACTATAGAGAGATTTAATATATTTACCATCAGGGAAGGTCTTTTTAATATCAAGCATCTTTTCTTCTTTCTTTTGAATTGTTTCTTTCTCACCATGAGGGTCACTACACTGTTGAATTTCAATTCTTGTTTTACGCAGCCAATCCAAAGCATCATTATATGCTTGCTTTTGCAACTCTTGTTTATTTACTTGTTGTTCCAAAGTCTTGTAAATGCAAAGAATTTAAATGTGAGTGCAATCATAGCATAAAAACAGTGATCAACATACTAAATTGACATAACTTTCTTGAGAAAACAATTTTAGGATATTTATTTAAAAGTTTTAGGCTCCTCTATTTCTGTTATCAGAAAAATCCTATAATATAGGACATCAAGCTTTAATTCTAATCAACTATTAATAAAATTCATGCCTTTTTATAGAAAGATAGTACTGTGATGTTTAAGTACTAATAGTGCTAAGGTGTTTAAGATGCCAGTCTAACGTGAATGTTTTCAATACAACAGTATTAAACACATGGACAACTCTTTCATTTTGGATATTTAACAATAGGCATTTGAGCAAACGGTATACACTCACCAATATATTCTGAGCTACTAAATCTTTGAGTTTTTGGTATCTTTCAAGGCAAGAATTGTACTCCTTAGTGGGCACAAATTGTTCTTCAGACACCCGAGATTTTAAGCGATCTACCATTTCAGAATGGCAATTAATATCACGTTGTACATTTCGGAACTTCTCTAACACAGCTCGTTTTTCACTAATCTCATCTGGCTGTATTTTCTGTTCCACTTCATCAAGCCAATCTAATAGCAATTTCTGGGCCTGTCACAAAAAGTAAATAGGTCATAACCACTTATAACAAACATTTTAATCTTTTTCATGAATAATTCTAATAAAATTTTGCAAAACCTTGTGAATATCTTCCAGATGAGTAGCTTGAGCAGCTAACTTTTGCCTGAGGTCTTGTACATCAACCATCAGTTTCTCAAATTCTATCTTTAAATTTTCAGTGTCTTCCTGAATTTTTGCTGCTCCATTCTGCTCTGTATTTAAAATAACTTTTTCCTTCAATTCCAGCACATACCTGTCAAATAATATGTGCAGATAAAGAAAGAAGAACATTCATGTATATTACTATATGCCAATATCCATAAAAAATGTTGAAGATGGCTGATGATGATGATGATGATGATGATGATGATAATGATTATGAAATGAATATTATACAGAAAATGATTTTTGAGAACATTGGAATCTTTTAAAAATTTATCATTAAAAAAATAATGAATAATACTTCAACTCTGACAAATTAAGGAGTAAGTAATAGGCCTACCTTAACTTATTTTGACCTTGCTCCAATGATTGACGAATTCCTTTAACCGTAGCAACTTTGTTGTTGACATCAGTGAGGGTGTTAGGAATTTCTTGGCATTCATGTAATTTATCTCGGGTGCGATCAACCCAATCTTGACATTCTTGATACAAAGTACTATGTTGTTGATGCTCCTAAATTAATTATGAGAAACAAATGTTACAAAAAATGTCTGCAAGTTGGAAATGATAATTCAACAATGCATAGAGATTAACTAAAAAGGAAATATACCTGATAATGCAGTTCCAATCGTCGCATTATTTCTTTTGCTAATGATAACAGAGCATTATATTTTGTAGTCATCTGAGTAACAGCATTACTGATTCTTGAATCAGCACAAGTTTCTAAAAGTACTTGAGCTTTCATATTCAGCCTATCCAGTTCTTTTTGCCAGTCAAATAGAGTTTGTAAGTGTGCCTAGAAGTCAGAAGTTAAATAAATATAAGTATTAATATTACAAAATAAACTTTCAAACAGAAGGACTGGACTAGCATTTCCTCTGTCAATATCCACATTTTCTTTCTAGACATAAGCACGCAATACTATAATGAATATCATGACACATTTTTTTATTGTGATACAAATTATCATACAAAATATCAAATTATCAAATATTTTTTATTGTGATACATGTTATCAAATTTAGTTACAATTTTCATACATACTTGAAATTCTTCCAGAACATTTTTCTTTTCTTCTAAGCTATCTTGTAATTTATTAAAAGTCTGTACAAGTTGTTCAGTTTGTGTCAGCCAATCAGATGCTTCTTGATAATGGTCCTCATATTCAGTCCATTTAACTATGCCAACTTCCAGCAAACTCTTAGTACGATTTAATGACTCACTAGAACATAATATACAACGTGCACATTATTCAATGCATTCATAATGACAGAAAATTTTTAAGCTTTGAATAACTGCTTCTATATTGAAAACTATAAGTTTTACTTACATGTAAGTATCAAATTCCTCCTGAAGAAGAGCCACTTCTTCTTCAATTACTTCTTTGTCTTCTTCATCTGCCACTTGGCAAGCAACGTTGCCCTGCTCTAATGCTTTCTCCAATTTTTGTTGCCCCTCATCTTGTGCACTTTGTAATACCTTTATAAGAATAATAAGATATTTTAAAATTTACCACCACTAAATAGACATAACTAAACAGAATTATTAACATAGATAAAACTATGAATATCTTACCTTCAGCTGAGTTACTTTACTGCTAAGAGATTCTTTATCGCCAGTTGGTTCAGAACATTTACTCAGCTTTTCCTTAGATGCTCGTATCCACTGCATGAAATCATTTCCAGCATCAATGAAGGCTTGATGTTGCTCGACCGTCTCTTTCTGCTTTGCATACAGTTCCTTAGCTTGTTTACTGAGAGTTTCATATTTGCTCGAAATTTCTGATGCTGGTTGTGCTTGAAGCAGATCTTCTGCTTTAGATGTTACAGATTGTATCATTGGTTCAAAAGATACAATGTCCTGCACAATGCTGTTTGTCTGGCGTAGGGTAGCTCTTCTTTCTCCAATACTCAGTGCACTTAGACCTGCTGCCTGTCCCTTCCTGGCTTTACTCACCTGTGCATAAAGTTAAAATTAATTTACTTGTAATAATGAATGTTTATTTAGTTGATAAAAGAACAATACTTCTGTAATTTTAAATGTAAATAAAATGAATTTAAAAAATAAACAAAACCATAAAACCAAATATCCAAATAATTAACTTTTGCCAATTGTAAAGTTGTTTAATTGTGCTTTTATGTTATTATATATTGGAATTAATACAAATTAGTTTCTCTCACCTTCTGTTCACAAACTTGTTGAAGTTTTGCTTCTCGATCAGTGATCCATTGCTGCAACTGAGTGTATGATGAACTATAATCTGCCCATTGCAGTAAACTTGTTTCCAAATGTACTTTGGCAGTAGATAACTTTCGCACAAGTCTATCCCATTCAGCTTGAAGATCTTTCAACTGTGAATTAATAGTGTCACGTCCATCTGAGCGAGTGTTTCGAAGTACTTTCTCACCACAATTAACGGTCATATGAACCAAATTTTGTCCCTCTTCACGTCTTCGCAGAAGTTCTTGAATCTGGTCCAGACGAGTGTGCAATTCATCATGAGTGCTATTAGATGATGCTTGGCTACAATCCCAAATTACTTGTTTTGCATTTTCAATCCATGCCTTTGCCTTTTCAAGGTTCTCAGCATACTGTGTGTGTTGTTCAAGATTTGTCTCAACTTTTCTCAAAACATCTTTGGCTAGATTTACTTGCACCTGAAAAAAAACGAGTAGTAACCAAAAGTAAATATATTTCTAAATTACTGGTAATTTTAATCACTTATCAAAAGACTTCTAAATAGCACCTCACAAATGTAAGCTATGAAGTTTTGTTTTAAAGAAAACAAAATAATTTGTGTTATTTTACCTGATATCTTGAATTCAAATGTCTCAATTGGTTATTGACATATGTATCAAGATGTGACGTAAGAAGAGCAGATGCAGTAGCATTAAATCTATCAATATTTTCTTGACCTTTCTCTAAACGATCAAGTATATCCTGTAATTAATGAAAATAGGTATTGTCAAAGAAATAAAGATAAACAAATAATCTTAAAATATCACCACAAAGTAAGAGGGCAAATAATACCAAACAAAGAAATTATGTTCAATAATTAAAAAGTTAAAATTTATTACAGTAATGAGTCACATACTTTGACTTCTTGCACTTGCTTGCTCTTCTCTTGTACAGTAGAGAGAAGAGCAGTCTTTTGAGCCTTTACTAAAATATCAATTTGCTGAAGCCAGTCAGATAATCTTTCATATTCTTCCTTGTAGTCTCGCCACTGAATAACAATAGCTTCAAGTTGTTCTTTTTGCTCTTTAATATCTGAAAGCAAGACATGTCATAAATACAATAAATGTGAAGACATCTATGAAGTTAACATTTTGAAAATACAAGTTTCTTACTATTCTTATGCGTATCTTTTTGACTTTCTCGCCTACTATGTATGTATGTACTAAAAGAAAATAATGTTATCATGCAGTGAAAATCAGCAATTTTTTGATAGAGAAATTCGTATGGTGAAGTCCTGATATTGAGAAAGTGGATAAATCTGGTTTCTATATTTAATACATTACTTCCTCTAAAATGTGTAAATTTTGTGTGTAAATTTTGTGGGTCTTTGATACCAAAAAATTGTTTTATGGCAATATGTGTCTGTTTGTCCATCCATTTGTGATCATTGTTTGTGCCTAAACTGTTAAGGTGATTTTCTCCAAAATTGATATTCCCTGATCAATCTGGCTGAACTGAAGGCCCTGCAAATTTCAAATAGATATTTTGATTTTTGAGGGCACTTCATATAAGGCCTCAACGAGTTCTTTAAAATTTTCTCAAAAATGACTCCAAATTCTTGGAATAAAATTTGTTCACAGACAGAGCAAAGGATGTTTAAAAAGTAGCGCAGGTTTTGCTTTCATCGAACTCTCATTTCATCTCCATTTTCAAACATTGTGAAAGTTCAACATTTTTTTGCATCTTTCTACAACTACAATATTGAAGGTAGAGAATTTTTCTTAACGAATTCTGTTCTTCAAAGACAGGCATTTAAATATGGTCATGTACAATTTTTTAAAAATATAAATAGTTTTCACATAATTTTGCTTGAAATGAAGGCAATTAAAAAAACTTATTTTCTTAAAAATTGTTCTAAATTTCTTTCTTTCTTTTTTTTTTTTTTTTGAATTTGTTATTTTTATTTTTTAATTTTTTTATTTTTCAAATAGAGTAGGCAAACTTGTACACTTACAAAAATGGCACAAATCCCATTTTCAGTAAACTCTCTGTATTCTTGAAATTTGTAAAAAATTAACATTACAAACCAAAAATACTGATGAGGGATATTTTCCTTAGTGAAATCTATTCTAAAAAATCAGATTTTTACTTAAGATCATGTACAATTTTTTTAATCTACGAGTATTTTTCACGCTTAATTAAAAAAATAATTTAAAAAAATGTAATTAAAAAATGTCAAACACAGCTCACAATTTTGTTCTTTAAACTCTTTTCTCCATTAGAGTAAAGTATGTTTATAATAATGGCATGGGTTTGCTTTTCATTGAACTCTCTGAAGTTTTGAAAATTGCAAAAGTTACAAATAATGCACGAGTGTGATGTTGTAGTACCGTTAGTTTGTGATTGACATTGTCTATCAAGTAATATACTTCTACTTTTAACCATTAACAACAGAATTTCAAAATATGAGTAAATATCTAAATATTTTTAAAGAAATAAGAAAACTCTAAATATAGGTAAGGTACTATTATTTTAATTTTACTATTTTACCTTTGAATAAACCTTCAAAATTCTCTCTTAAGACTTGGATTTCATTTCGTATTGTCTCTTGACCCTGAGAAGAAGTGCTGGCCATAACTACTTCACCAGTCTGCTGAAGATGTTCTACAAGAAGTTCTCCCTGAGCTTGCTTGTTCAATAAGGCTTCTAAAGGTGCAACAGCATTCTCGATGGCAAGTTTATCACTCAGAGATCTTTGTTTCAAAGACGGTACTTTCTCTCGAGCTCGACTCAACCAACCAATTAAGTCATCATAAGCTTCTTTATACAGCCTGTGATCCTTGTACTGATCTTCACGTTCTGACAAAAGGTTCTAAAAAATAGATGAATAAAAGCAATAATAACAACAACCATCATTATTATTACTAATCAATTGTGACCACCCCACCCCACTTTTTGAGCAATTTGAATTAATATTACTACACGTGACTGATTGAGACTCGAAAAAAGATTATTGAATCAGCTGTATTCTATTTACCAGAGTGTTTTATAAAAGTAGTCAGACACCTCCTTGTCTCCATCAGGTGCAACATACCTGAGAGATACACTTGTTTTATTATTTGACATATTTTCAATGTGATAACATTGGGATTGTTTGAATTATTAGTACCTTCCTGAAAATTCACTATTGTGTTTGAGTGCTAATGGAAAATTAGTGTGTTTAGATATTTATTTCTTGTCTCTGTGTGATACATTGCGCTTGTTTGTGCAAATGAGATTAAGTGCTTTTATGAAGCATTGAGACTGAGAAAAACTGAAGTAAAAAAAAATGCAGGTGAGCAAAAACAAAGTTTGAAGAAGTTTGTAAATCACAGTAATAAAAATAGCAGTGTAGAAACTCCACTCAAATACTAACTTCTCTTGACGGCTTTGACAACAAAAGATATTGCAGTTTGCCCTTACATACTACAAAAATAAGATGAACAAAAGGAATAAAAATAAATAATCTTCATCAGTCTTCATCATTACAATGCTTCATATTTTAAATACACTGGATGAAAAATAGATATTATTCAACTTGTCCAATTGAAAGTATATTCAAGTTGAACAAAATACTTTATGTGATGACGATGAGACCAAAGGACAAATTGATTTTAGTCATGAAAGCAATTGCTTAAGTGTTGTAGAGACAGAAAAACATAGAAATGTATGTCTTTTTTACAGTAGATATATATTTTATGGTAGAAAATCTTTAAGCTATTGTGTGCAATGAAATTACATGCACATCTTAATATTATAATTTGATACAGTATATATTATATAATATATCTCTCAGATACAATGTATCCCACCAGATTTTTCAAAAAGTATTGAGTCAGATAGTCTGTCAACTCATACCGTTGATTTTAAGGACCACATTAAGATGGCTACTTAATTTTGACTCACAAAGTTGAATATACCCCGTTCCAGACCTAACGCTAAGCAGAAAATTCCCAGCATCACTACAGATTCAAACCTTAGACCTCTGGATCTCGACCTCCTCATCGCTGGCTCGAAACACTAGCCACCACATCAAAGAGGTGGCAGAAAAGACAGTGACAAGAAATTCAGCAGAATGATAAAAAATAGATTGACATTAAGTCCCACATTGTCATCCATTATATATACACTTTTATGTTTCTAAATATAATATTTAAACATTCTGGACTCATTTTGATGAACTCTCATATGCAAAGATAAACAATTAGCAATAAGATCTTGTTACACAGCATGTTTTCCAGAGTAATTAGCACAAGTGAAAATGAAGAGGTGAAATTACCTTTATTTTCTCACTAAGGGTATCAAACTTATTGAGAATTTCTTGAGCTTGTGAAGCAGCATGACTCTGCTGGCCACTCGCTAGCATTTCTGCTGCCTTAGCTTTTAGACTATCTACTTCTATTTTCTCACACCGTACTTTCTCTTCTAAACACTAAATGCATAAATAAAAGAATTGCAGCATTAGATAAGCTAAGTATTGATAATTTATCCACATAATATATTATTCCAGCACTTTATTTTCAAACAATACTTACTTTAATACGTTCCAATTGTGCTCTCTTTTCAGACATTGTTGCTTGAAATTCAGAAATTTCATTTGAAACTGATTCTAGATAGTCTACAGTCTTATTAAGTTGATGGATTTGTTCCAGAAATCCAGCCCACCGCTGAATTGAGTCATCAAGAATAGCCTATAAAAATATACATGCTTAGTGACATCCTATAAAATATAGTAGACATAAATAATGGAACTTCTAATCAACCTTAAAAGATTTATCTGTAGATAGATTTTTAGCAATAATACAAAAATGTGTGACTGCTATGTACTACTCCGTATTTTATACCTTGATTTCCAGCATTTTTGAAGCCAGAGCACTCCATTCCTCTTGCACTTTACCAAGTACTTGATTAATGGCAGCATGACCAGTAGGAGCTGTGTTGGCTAACACAATTTGAGCCATTTCAACCATTCCCTGAACTTTAGTGAACCCTTCTTCTTTATAAAGCAAGAGGTCCTGTAACATGTACATTGAAACTGACACCTTTACAAAATATACAAGTTTAAATGTTAACACTATTGTGTGTTGTCAAATGTTTGAAACTTGACAATAAAGAGCTAGATAAAGTTTATTATCAATGCAGAATATGCCACAACAAAGGAAATTAACATTTGGAGCAATCACATGAATTATTATGTCAAAAGTAATGGGTAAAGAAAACACACAAACCTGTATTGTTTCCATTTTGCTTTCGAGGTCCTTCTGAGATGAAGCACTAAGGTCAGAGCAATAAGCCAACTTGTTTTTAATGTCTTCCAGCCATTGAGTGCATTCTGCAATCCGATTATCAAAGTCTTCATGACTTATCACATATTGTTGCCAACGTGCTGCAAGATCCTGAAAAATATTGTTAATCGGTTGTTCAATTTGACATTAAGGCATAAAAATTCATATCATATCACGTCTTTGAAATTTAATTTTAAAGCTATAATGCATTTTTATGCTTGAAAGTTTCTTCTTCAAAGAAATAGATTTAAATTCTGGATTTTTTTAAAAACTTAAACCTCTCCATATTATTCAACACTTGTTTAAAATAAAAAACTATTTTATTTAAAGTATTTAAAATTTATAATAAATGATTGAATCACAAGTTTCATGATTATCCCCATATTTTCCCAATTCAAATATGGTATGTTGTATTATGTAATAATAATATAAAATCATTGAATGCTTCATATAATCTAGAAGATCATACCTTTACTTTATGTGACACCTGCTGGTATTTTAGACCCAGTTCAGAAATAAGAGAACTCCGAGTGCTGAGACTGCCTTTGTATAATTGTTGTGCTCGTTCAGTCAAAGCATCAATTTCCAGTTCTTTGGCTCGTACTTCACCTTGAAGAGCCTTTAAAATTTGAATTATTACTTCAAAGTATGTTCTGACAGAATTTAAAATAGAATAAACAATAGTACAATTCACAAAGCTTAGGACAAAAAAATCTAAGCACGTGGTGTATCATGAAACAATTTATATCAAACAATATCTTCCCTTATTTAAAAATATCTAACAAGTTATCACATGCTTAATTAAAACACACATGTAACTTAGATATGTATCATGTGATCAGTAACAATATTGAGATTTTTGCCTGTGCCAAAGCACTATGACCAAAAATTTCTTCAGTGTTCTAAAGGAGTCAACCCAGAACTTATTGGAACTTATTGGTAAGTCTTATAAGGTGACAAAAGATACATTCCCTTTAAAATGATTTTGTTTACCTTTGTTTCTTTACTTCAAAAAATTAAATATTTGGTAAAATGTATATGCTGATACAAGAAAATAAAAATAAAAATGATGCACAAAAAATCATTCCCAAGCAATGAAGATTTGCACATCATACATTTTATAATAAAGTTACAAATAACTAAATGATAAAAATCTGAATTGATAAATTCATACTTTAAGTTTTAGATAATACTTCTTTATTTTATACATGCCTTTAAGTCCTGCAGTTGTTTTTTCTTATTTTCTGCTGTATCTTTCAGATCTACAGCATGAAGTTTTGTATCTGTCTCTCTAATCCATGTAAGACATTGGTCTTTCAATGCTTCATATTCATTCCACTGTTGCAGTTTTGCATCAAGAGCTTCTATCACAGATCTAAAACGCATTTTACAAAGAAAATGGTACACTGAAACTATACTTAAATAACAGGAATAAGGTCATAACTTTTCAAACTCACTTTACAGCAGATAAAAGACCTTCCCATTCTTGTTGTGATGAGTCAATCTGGGACCTAATATTGACTTGACCAGATTCTATTGTACCTGGAATGACTTTTTCACCTAAAGCACGGATCTGTTTAAATCTATTTTCTTCCTCTGGTAAGCTCAGTTGTAAATTCTGAACATAAACATTAAAAAAAATTAATCAAACATTGCAAAAGTAATAATTCTCACCAGAAATAAAATGATAAAACATACCTTTAAGCGCTCCAAATTCGTATGCAAAGAAATGCGCTCTAATTCAGTATCACCCCACAGTAAAACGGTGTTATGTGTTGCTTCCAACCATTCTTGTGTATCCATAACAGCTTTGCTGTACTGTTGGTGATCACTTACAATTGCTTCATAGCATTCCACAAAATTCTGAAAATTAAAAAGGTTGATGATTTTAGAGTAGTTCGTTTGCTATTACAATAATCTTCCAAAAACATTAATAATAATAATAATCTTCAAATTACCTGGGCTTTCTTTAAAATGTCAGAATGTCTTTGTGTCAATTCATTCAATTCTTGGTCAATTTTTCCACTGCGTTCAGGTAAACTTTCAGTCTTGTCTCTCAAGCACACAATATCTTGTTGATGAGCTAGTGCATCATGCAATACAGCACGATAACACTGAAGTTGAGCTCTCTTTTCATCAAGTGTTGTCTTCAGTTCTAATTCTGCAGGCAAGTGTCCTTCTGCTACTGACAACCACTGACGGAGATTTTCACTGCATTCCTCAAAGCCTATCCACCTATATACAAATACAGATTAATAAATAAATTATATCTTTAATTTAAAGGCCAAATATACGTTACAAATTTATCAACAATTTAAAAGCAGTATAAAACCTTGAGAGTTTTGCTTGAAGTTCACGTTCAGTGCTTGAAACTCCATCAAAAAGTGTTTCCATAGCTTGTTGAAGTTCTTGAATCTTGAGACGTATTGCCTCACGCCCTTCCAAGGCAGTTGATGGATAGAGCTTCTCTCCTAACTCAACAGTTGTGTTGAGAAGGGAAACTGCACTTGATTGCTGTGCAAGTAGTTCCTTTAAGCCAGAACTTCGTAACAGCAAATCTTCACGAGCACCAATGGTCCCACCATTAGAACAGCTTTCAAAACATGATTGCGCAGTTGCCAACCATGCTGAGCACTGTTGGTATTTCTCCAGAAAAGCTTCATGATCCATTGCAGCTTGTTCACACTTTTTGACAACTTCCTGTATGTACAATTTCACATACTTTATTGAGTCAATTCTTTGCATATTAACTAAAAATTGAGTTTTAAAATAGTACACCACTCCACAAATTGTAATGTGTAACTCACATAAAAGAACACCATGAAAGAAAGGTGTTTCAAATTTTTAGTAATGTCACTTTCATTGTATACAAATGAGTAGTTTACAAGTTTTGATAAAACATTTATCAAAGTGAAAACAAATTTTTTAACATGGGAACCCACTTCAAAAATTTTGTTCAAAATATGCCTTTTCAAACAAAAAGAAATCTAAAATAAACACTCTCATGAGTACACATATATACAGTTTTGAGTGTATATTTGAAATAACTTTTTGGCATTTCATCTCTGAGCAATGTGTTCAAATCTTTTTTAAAAGAACTTTTTTAATGGAAACTTATATTAAAAAACTAACAATCAAATAATTGTGTGTTATGTTCTCATTCATTTAAAATTTTTTTAATAAAATGAAATGAAATCAAACCCGAGAGCACCTTGATCACCTTACTCAGGAAAAGTCTTTATTTCTCCAAACATTTAATTCATACAAATAGGTCATAACAATTACTATAAACACAATAACTTAAGAGAGATGAAAGTGTGCCATGAGGTAATAATGATGACTAGTGTACAAGTTTTGCTTGGCATCAAAATCTCTCCAATCAATTCTAAAAAATTTACCACCTAAAATTAAGTTGTAATGATAATGGATTAATCCCGGTTTGTAGTAGTCCTTGGTATCTGTTTAAAAAAAAATCAATATACTTCACTCAAAACAGCAGCTTTAGATTTTTGTTGAAGTTTATTTATATTCAATAAATGCTCAGATTACTCAAGGATTACCAAATACACTGAATAAATAAAAGAGGGATGAAACAATGTTAAATTTTGATTTCTATATGAAAGCATCATAACTATACACTACTACAGTAGTCAAAATATATTGTGGTAGTAGGAAGAAACAAATACATAATAGTATCCTTAACCATAACTGAGGAAGCTAAATGAAAGAATGTCACCTTTGCTGTCGTGTGAATGGATTGGAATCTTGAAATTATTTGCTGCACATTTACTGAGATTCTTGTTTCTCCACTGATCTGCACCAATTCAGAAGAGTCATCACTCATTTTGTCTATTTCAGCTTCATTCTGATGAACACTCTGAATCAAAGCCTAAAAAAAGAATGTTTTATGCATTTTTTATGACAATGTGATAATTACCAAAGCGAATAATAACTAAATTCAGAAGTGGTCAGCAGAAATATAGAAAAAGGAAATAGAAAAACTGCTGTACTAATGAATTCTAAGCTGATATATTTGAGATAACTTGTGTCAATAATGTTTCATTTAGTAGTTGAACACAATGGAAGAGTGAAATTTTACCTGATATTTTTCTAGTTGTTCTTTCTTCTCTGGCAAAGTAGATCGAGGAGCATAATTCTTTAATGCTGCTTCTGATTCAGACAGCCATTCCAATAAACGATCAAATGAACCTTCATATTCTGACCATTGTTTTAATCTCTCATCCAAAGCATATTGTACATCATTCAATGCAGTCAGAAACTTCTCATAATCAAACCTATTCAGAAATAATGAAATAAAAAACAACACATCATTAACCACAACACTATGCTAATGTTTGTTCTTTAATTGTATTCATAATTAGTATTCAAGTAATATGATCAATACATGGTTGAAACTAGCATCCATGAATAATAAATAAGGTATGTCCACAAATTCTACAATATTTAATAAGAATTTGTGATGAAATACCAAAAGGTTTGAAAACATTTATTCCTAGAACAGAAATTTTACCTGTTTTACATGTTTCAAGACACACACTTGAAAAGAGAAAACCATCCATCTTTACCTAATATATAATCTACAATATAAAAAAATAATCCTCTTCACATCGCAAGTTTTCTTTTCTTTTCATATAACAAAAAGCTTTGAATTGTGGAAAGTCTAATACTTTGCCTCACAACTTGAAGTCATTGCATGCATCAATATCATTTCAATCACAACAATAATGTTTAATTTCAAAACAGGTTCAACTTGTAAGTAGGCCAGCGAATTCTGGCTTCATGTCAGAGAATCCACCTACTTCATGAGAATTGTGGTACTTATTTCATGGGAATCATTCCTATGTCTATTGATTTTTCAAAACAAAATTTGATAATTCACAAAGAAAATATCACAATGAATAATGTACAGGTTATTAATGTAACTTCAAATTAACTTCTCCCCATAGAATGTCACACACAGTTTTTAACTGTTTTTTGACGTACATAAAATAAATAAATTTGTACTACAAAACATTTTTTGTATCTGGAACAGGTTTTTTATTTTCTTGTATCTTGAACACAGTTAGAAATGTTATGTAACATTGCAAGAAAAAGATCCAATTTTTCAACAGAAAATCATTGACCTGATACCAAAACAGTGAATTATTCTTGCTCCTATATTAGTTAGTAATTACTTTCTCCCATAAGTAGTATCTTCAAAATCCATGTTTTGTGAATCCTTGCTACCGGAAAAGTGTTTTCTTTTCAAAACATCTGTGTGTATAGCATATAAACCATACACAAACCATACACTTTCTGACACAAAATAATAAAAAATCTAAAGTGATTATAAATATTGAAGACAAATTCCCTAAACAGGAAATTATGGTATTGTTTATTGAGCAAAATATAAGAATTGTAGAGAGTAAGTGATTAAACTAAAAGAAAATTAGCCACTAGAGTAAAAGAATGAGTGAATAATATTATCGAAACAAAATTCATATTTGTTTCCTTTTTGTAACTTTTTGTAATATTCTTCTAATTATTTGCATATAGAATAGTCTAGAAACATCACATTATTAAAACAAATATTGAATGAAGATGTAATAAGAGATGTTACAATTTTTAATGCAAAAAAATAATTATTTTAATTGTTGTTAATTAAGGAAAACTTGATTAATATTGTAGGACCATTAGCTTAATTAATGCATACAAGCTCTGTGGGTTAAATTTTTCTTTTCTCTTCCAAATTAGTTGTTTATTTCAGAAATCTGTCAAATGCCAAATTCATCATTTCGAGAAAACTGAGAAAAAGTCTCCCAATTTTTCTGATTTCATTTTTTCATTTATTAAAGTAGTTGATAAATGAGTATGTTTCATATAAATATGCACTAAATGATGTGTCAATCTGCTTGAAACAATAATCCGCCGCTAATGCGGATTTTAGATTTTGGCGTTTGACAGGTTTCTGAAATAAACTATTCAATTGACAGTATCAAAATGGAACAATGACATCTAAGGTAAGGAAAATATTCATGAATCAATAAAGAGTTTATTTAAAATGAAATATAATTATCATCATAATCAAATATTAACTTGCAGAGAAATTATTCTCATAAAACTAGTGAATATTGCTGGTTAAATATTGAATTGGTTTTATTTTTCCTCTTTTGGTTTATTTCATATTTCAAAAAGTAATTTGATTTCGTCCAGATTTCATACACCTACTCGAGATATTTTGATTAAATCCTAAGTAAAGATTCACAGGACTTCTCTCAAGTCTTAAACGTTACAAAATGCAAAACAGCATCTATCTAGAAATTGATATCACTTACTTAAGATTGGCCAAGTCCCTTTCCATAACTTCTTTTGCTCGAGCTGGCAGTTTCTCAGTTTTGGTGTTTACATGATCAGCCAGAGCTTTAAGCTTCACTTGACCTTCTGTAGTAAGACTTTCTTTAATTTCCTGCACTTTGTTCAGACGAGATTGGAGAGCTGGTTTATTACCACTGTAATCTAGAAAAAAGACAGACAATTTTATTTCGTTTGTTAAAAATTAGTATTTAATATATAATTCTAAAGACAAACCTGAATATGCTGAAAGCCGATCCCATAATTGTTTTTGATAGTCTTGGTATAATTTCTGCAAATCATGAAATTGTTGAAATGCATCCAAACTCTCTTCCAACTGAGTTATCATTACCAAGAGGTTGTTCACAAGACTTTCATATCTTTCATTAATATTTTTCACAGTTTGTAAAACTTCATGATCGTCAGTTGCTTTAGGACTAGAAAGTTGAACTACAGCATGTGCTTTCTCAGAAACAGCTTCAATTACTCGTTTGTGAGTTATAACTTCTTGTAGTGTTGTCTAGAAACAACCCACATTACAAATAAAATTATGAAATTTAAAAACTGATCATTATTGAAAACATAGTATTTACTGTACCTTGTGTTTCAATAATTTGGAACGAATTTCTTGGGTAGATGACCATGAACTTAGGGGATCATGAAGAAGTGCTTTTTCCATTGAATCCAACCAAGCTAATGTCTGTTGTAAGGTTTCTTGATAACTACTCCATTGTAAGGACTGAGCATCGTGCCGTTTCTGTTGTTCCTTTATTCCTTCTTCTAATTGGTCCCATCTGCAAATAATATTGATTGTTGTAACATCAGAGATGTTTTATGCTTCACCCAGAGAAGTTATTAGCTGAGAACATTAGTCACTCAATGTCATAAAATAGAGTTGTTAGAATTTCTATGTGCACTGAGTCCACTGGTGGCCTCATTTAAGTTCTTAGTTGAGTCCATTGGTAGCCTCGTGGCACTCATTAGTTAAAAAAATGTATTTTATGATCTTTGAGTCAGAGCAAGAAAAATTACCTGTCTCTCAACTCCCGTAAGTCACTACGTATTTTTTCACGACCAGGAGCAGCAGTATCTGGGAACAGACGTTCCCCTATTGCTGTGAGATTTGCAATTCTTTGCACACCTTGCTCTCGCTCTGAAAGCAATATCTGCAGCCGATTGACTTTGCTCTTCATATCTCTTGATACTCCTTCAGTTTTAAGAGCTTCAAGATTGGCCTCTAAAGGCGCTAACCATGCTAGTGTTTCTTGAAGTTTTTCTTCATATGTTCGATGGTCATCTACTAGACCTTGCCACCTATTAATGACCTCCTTACTTAGCACATGCAGTAATTGGTACCTAAAATGTAAAATAATTATTTATAGCAATAAATGCAGATAATTTCACAAATTTAAACATTACCAAGAACACAAGAATTAAAACACTCACTTTGCACATTTGTAAGTAAAAATAATGAAAGAACAGTGGAAAATAAAATAAAAATCAATGATGATGTGCCAGATGTTAATATGCCAGACGAGTGAGTGGCTTATGAACATAAAACGTTTTCTAAACTTTCTTACACAGTCAAGATAATATCTTAGTATTAAGGAATAATAGATCCATCCTTAGTTCTTTTAATTTATCACCTTTTTAAAAACAACAAATGTCAATGTCAAGTCTAATAGTTTTTTTCAAATTTAATTTTAAATTTGTTTGTAACTTTTTATTAATTTACACTTATAACAAAACCTAATATATTCATGATAAATGTGAATTACTTTTCAATAGAGGCCTACCTGTTACTAATTTGTGAAATCAGAGGTTTTATTCGGTCTGCACCACTACAATGCAACAAAGCATGTGACCGGTCAACAAATTCATCAATATTTTTTTCTTGTTCTGTAATGAGATCACGCTTTTTTCTAAAGCTTTCTAACTGGGCTTCTTTCTGTTCTACAGAATCTTGTAACTGTTGATCACGGAAAATTGCTTCAATTTTACGAAACCATTTTGTATGCTGATCCAATTGCTCTTCAAACTGGCTCCATTGTTTTAAGGTGTTTTCCAATTTCTTCTCAACATCACCTAAATTCAACCAAAAGATGCAATTAATAATTGTTTCTTCATACATCATCTTTTATAATGTCATAACTGCAATTTAAATATTTAGAAATCTAAAAACATGCAATAATATCTATACAGTATGTTTTGATATTAAAAATTTGGTACAATAAAAAATATTCCTTTAGAATTAAATATCATTAATTTTTTATGTTCAATAAATTTTTTGCACTTATTATAGTAAGTGTTTCATCTCAATAAAGAATTACTGGTGTAAAACATGCCATATTAATGGCAACCTTTGTTTAGAGAAAAATGTTTAGAGAAAATAAATCAATATAATAAAAATAAATTGTCATAAAGAATTATTTAAATTCAAATAAACTGTACATTGGTACTGTAAATTTATTATGAATACTATTTTCAAACTTATTATAAAATTCAAATAAGAAGATGGCATTAAAATATCTTTACTATTATTGTAAATTCTTGTATCAAAATGTTGGAAATTCATTATAAATTCTTTGTTTCAAATTTGATTTTGTACATCCAAATAAATTATGATCCCCCCCCCCTTCCCCCCTTTTTTTAAATTTTGTAATTTCATTACATTTGGCATTCTAAACTTAGGCACAAAACTGTTAAAACTGAAACATAAACATATTGATTTCCAAAAAACACAAAACAAAAAAATATTCGAATTTTTAATTGTTACAGCAGGAAAATTAAAAAAAAAAATATCAAGATGAAGTAATAAATCAAATCATACCAATACGATCCAAATGTTGTTTGAAGGCAGCATGTAAATCATCAACTTCTTTTTGAAGGGCATCTACTCCTTTTGGAGCAGTTCCTTTGCTTACAACGCCACAAAGTTCTTGGAGCTGTGTAAGTTGCTTTTCACTTTGTAGACAGTTATCTCGCAACGACTAATTTAACAAAATGAAAAGAAAAAAGTATAAGCACAGGTTGAGTAACATTGAATGAATAATCTGGGTAAAATTAACAATATCTATGAAGTGGATAAATTCTTTTTTTCTGAACATATTTTTTTTCTTCCAAAGCAAAATCCTAATTTATGAAGACACCACTCTAAATAGAAGGAAGAAATTTGCAGGAAGGATCTGAGATCTATTTTTTTATTAACAGAATTGTAAATTATCGGAACACCTTGCCTCAAAATGTACATATATCAAGTGTTAATAGCTTTAAATGTTACGTTAATAGATTTATGTATGCTATTCTGTAATTAATTAGAGCTATAACTATTTTTACAAAGTACTTATAAAAAAAAATCTATACTATGGTATTGGATAAAGCAAGCTGTATCAGCCATAGTACTGCCTGTATTTTAGAAAATAAATAAAATAATGAGGTATTCAAAACTTTCAATTTTAGAGAACAGAACACTAAGGAGAAGTAACTTACTTGTAAGTTTATAAGAAGAGTAAACTTACTTGTAAAGTAGCGAGACGTTTCTTGATATCTATCTTCTCGCCACCAACATCATCACAGTCATGAAGATTTTCTTGCTCAGATATAAGCCAATCATGATAGTTCTTACACAGGGTGCTGAAATGGTTATGTTTCTGAGAACATTCCTCCAAGTCATCCAAAAGATCCTTTAAAAAAATTAATTGTAACATGTAAATAATTTTGTTTACTCAATTTTTAAATTTAATACACATCTTATGAATAATGATTTTAATTTAACATTCAAGCTCATTTCAATGTTCAGTCCAGAGGCGGCTTGTGCACGTTTCTTAAGAGAAGGAAGGAAGGAAGCCTATTGAAATAAGACAGAAAGATCTATCAACTCATTTTTCCTGTGATTTAGTCAGTCCACATTGTAAGATTACACTTGGTTGTTGCTCTGCCCATGTCTGACCTGTGCCCTTTGGAGTGTGACATGACTAACCACCACAACAGTGGCATAAGTTCAAGTGGTAAAATTTTTGTTTGCCATCAGTGAATTGTTGATCCTCACAAAGTTTGTGAAAATGTTGTTTCTTCTAATTTTCTACACTCATTTGATGCTATTTCCCTTCTACTTCCCAGACTTGGAATAATTATCCCAATAACAATAATTTAATATAATAAGTTAAATATAATCATTATTTTTCAAATCATCATAGTATTCCAAACAGTTTTCAATTCTTTTTAGGTCCATGGAGTAAATTCTGGGCCATTTGCAAATCCAAATCAGGGCTTTGATGATACTATGAAACAGTGTTAGCTGATGTTAGTATTTTGAAATGTACTATTACATGGAAAACAAATTCAAAAATTTTCCATTTTTTAAAGTTATGGGCATCATTTGTTTCAGACACTTTGTTAGAACATGTGATTTTTGTTAAAGCCTGCAAAATATTAAAATATCAAAACACTATTGCTATTAATGAGTCATTCTGTGAAGACCATCTTGTAGGACAAAGTTATTTTAATGTAAGATAATTTCACTTTGTATTTAAATCCATCACTGATGATAATGTGTTCCACCGATTCATGCTATGACCAAAAAAATATAAATTTGTTCCAGCAATCAGGAAAATGTTTGAACTTCTAATATCTCATACATGGCATTATTAGACATAAAATTTCAATTATGAACAGTACAATGCATGAACAATGCGTTTTCTAGTTCATCTAATTTTTTTCTGAACATCATTATGAATTCCACTCATAATTGCTGTGCCATCATATCCTTGACCTCTACATTTAGATAAATTAATGCCTTGTTCTTTTATGCACTCGACAATATCAAACTGCAACCGTGATTGTTCTTCAAAATTCTTAAATCCTATGAAAAATTCATTAATTTTTGTTTTAATTGGGTTGCTGGATTCATTTTTCTCCATAGTGACATATTGTAAAATTTAAGTTAGTTGGTCAACTTTTCATACATTTTGCTTTGGTCTATAATAATAGAACAAAATTTGCTTCATTTATTTCTTCTATGATTTTATCAGACACAGTTTTAGATAAAAGATATTATTTTTTTGTATTGAATTTGGAGACTTAAATAGAACCCTTAGGAGGGTTTAACTAGGAGCACCTGGACATGAGCATAAGGTCCCAATGAAATTTCTGCCACTGCCAAAGTGCATTTATCTGGTTCAAAAAGAAGCCAACAGATCTCAGTTTAAGGTAGGAGGTTCTCTTCTACTGTCATAAAGCTCCATTAAAAAATGATTCTGCTTCTCACCACAGATGCACTGGGAATTATGGATAATTAACAAATAAGAGGAGGTAAAGCTGAGAGATCCTTCTCAGAGCAAATTCAATCATTATCATGTTACTTCAAACTGTGCATAGATTAAGACTCCATCAAAGTCTATTTCACATAGCTATCAAAATAAAAAATTGTATGTTATCCCTAGAACATCAAAGCAAAAATGTTGTTTGTTAATTACATGCAGAAGAAAAAAATATGTGAGAAGGACATCTCTCCCTTCCCTCCCCTTAGAAACCGCCACTGGTTCAATCTCATGTTTTGTCTCAAATAACAAATTATTACATCCTAAGTGAATGAGCTGTCATGTTTTCAATTGCTCAGCAGAATTAAGCAGTTGAAAACACTTTGAAACAAATCACATCACATGAAGGAAAATCAAATATCAAATTACTTGTGCAAAATATCAATCATAACAATCATGATGACAAAAATTAATTGGTTATGACTTAGGTCTTTAGATGGCAAAAACTCATTAGTTTCTAAAAACATTTTAATAAAAGCACTGTAGTTTCTTACCTGTGATTTCAGTACAATATTTTGAAAAAGTTGCTTAATATTCTGTAAATAAGTATTCAATGACTTGTCTTGAGTTTGGTGAACAAGTTGTTGAGCTTTAACACACACAGATTCAACCAATTGCTGATGTGACATTATTTCTTGATGCATAATTTTATGATTCTGAGAAAAAATAAATATCTCCTTTTAGCTTTGTACTTACTATTTTGTTCCATAAAATATGGCACATAGATTTCACAAACCTGTAATTGAGCACGTTTCTCTTGCAAAGATGATTTTAATTCAGTGTGTTGTGTCATCGCTCGTTCAACATCTTTGAGCCATTTTGTAAGTTGATCTTGTGACAATATGAACTCAGCAAACTGCATCAAGCATTGATCCAGCTTGTGCATGGCAGCTTGTAGGTCATCCGAAAAATTATCCCAAAGAGTGCGCAAAGTTCTAATAAGGTAAGAGACACGGATATTATCAGCGGATTGAAAAAGAAAAGCACTTGTGGCAATAATCACAATCATATATTTGTCATTAAAGCAATGTTTACCTTGATAATTCAATTTTTTTAAAATATCAAGTGATTAGTTTCATTTCTAAGTAAAAATAAAAGATCACTGTGATTGACAAAAGCTATCAGAATAAAACTACCAAAATAAAACTACCAGAATTCAGGGAACTATTTCAAGTGACAATAGACTAGTATATTATTCGGAATAGTCACTGAAACAGATTTGTTTCAGTGACAGTTTCTTTTAAAGTTTGAAGTAGAATATTACCTTAATTGCTGTCGTATAATCTCTCTTCCATCTGGACTAGTGTGTGCATATAACTTTTCACCATTGTCAACAAGACAATCAAATCTTGTGCTTTCCTTGGAACGAACATCTGCCAATTCTCGTATTTTCTTCTGACGCTCCTTTACGAAAATAAGGAAGATTAATGTTAAAAAGTTGATTTTAAAATATTAAACAAGTTTATATTTATACATTTATGAGACATATTACCTGTAATACACCAATATCTCCCACGATTTGACTGAGCTCTTTAAGTTGTGTTTCTACTTGTGAGAGCCATTCCAGAATACTGTTATATTCATCATTAAAGACACGATGTTCTGTTACAAATTGTTCATATTTTGATATTGCTTCCTAAAACACAATAAGGGAATTAATATGTGGAAAATTCTTTGTGCATGTTTCAAAAATTAGAGTTAATTTTTAATACAATACCTTTGTTATATTTTTTAAAGCTTGATATCTTGTAGTAAGACATGAAACTTTCATTGAAAGCTCTGACTGACCTACAATTGATTGACTCTGAGCAGCTGCTACACTGAATTCTTCTGCTTTTAGAATGATTTCTTCTTCAATTGCTTTCAGTTTGTCTAGGTGAACTTGTTTAGCTTCTTGTGTATTGCGCAGGCTCTGATCTTTGACTTGACATTCTTTTGCCTTTATCCAACCACTAAGTGTATCAACCATTTCTTCAAACTCTGTCCATCGTCTACAAAGTAACTGTAGGCGTTGTCGCGTGTCTGCACATTTTCCAAAGAAACCTTCCCAAGCTTGTTTCTGTTCCTCAAATTGCTTTAGTAATGTTGGATGTCCTGAAATATCAGTCTGCTCTAATACAATCTGAAGTAATGTTTTACATGTGTCAATCAGTTTATCTCCTTCTTCTTTCTGGTGCAACAAATCATCAATAACAGCTAATTTTGCATCAGCTCCATCTTTTTCGAGGGATGTATCTTCAAGGACAACTGATGCTTCAGCAGCAAGTGTTGCAAGCCAATCATGAGATTTTTCTAATGATTTTAAATAAGCCTCATGATCTGAGACATGTGTTTCAGCAGTCTTAATTCTCTCCTCAACATTCTTAGACAATTTCTCATAATTTCTTAGCATGTCGTTGAATTTTGCAGTTGCATCAGAATCTGATAAAGCTTCTATTTTGTCTTGTAATTGTTTCATTACATTTTTATGGGTATTGACATCTTGAGCCAGGAGGCGATAAGTATGCATGGCTTGTTTCTTCTCTTTCAAATCAGCTTTCAGATCCATTTTATTTCCCAGCTTGCCTTCTGCTTCTGTTATCCACTTCTGGACCTGGCAATAACTATCATCAAACGATGAACGCTGCATCATAATAACTTCAACTTTTTTGTGAATGGCATTTGATTTGTCAATAAGAGCTTCAGATGCATCTCTCAAACTTCTAAGTTCTGCTCGAATGGTTTCTCTGTTCTGAGGAGTAACACCAGAGAAAAGAGCTTCTCCCGTTTCAACTGCTCTATTTAATAAAATCTGACCCTTCTCACGTTCTTCAGCAAAACTCTTCAGTTCTTCCAGTTTTTCCTGATATACTTGCATTGGCTTTGCTGGAGATGACAATAAATGTTCGAACGATTTCAGTTTTTCATCAGCATCAGCTAACCATGACTCAACCTCTTTCACTGAATCTCTGTAAATATTTTTATTATTTTCTAGAGTTTTAAGACGATCTACATAAGAAGTAGCAAATTTTACAACAGATTGATATCTTGAAAGTAAATGACCATGTTGACCAATTCGAGACTCAGGATTTTTCTTCACAATTTCTTCTCCCACTTCCACAATATTTTGTACATTTGGTTCATAATCAATCACTTGCTTGCAAAACACTTCCATTTCAGCAATTTTACTAGTAATAATGTCAATACTTAACTGACTGACGCTTTCAGAACGAACTTTACTTTCTGTATCACGAAGCCATGATGCTACATTCTCTGACACTACTTCATATTTCTTCCACAGTTCGATATTATAATCTAGTGATTCTTTGGTCTTCTGGTAGTTTTCTTTCAGTGATCCTAGCTCCAATGTTAACCGATCCCTTTCTGCAATCAACTCCTGCATTTTTTCAGGTGATTCCACATTTTGCAAAAGAAGCACTGACTGATCTAAATCTGCATGTTTAGCATCACAGTCAGCTAATCCTGCTAAAACATCCTGTAATGATGAAAGTTTTGCTTCAAGGTTGTAATGGTCACTACTTGCTTCTGGAATGCACCATGTTACTTTTTCGTTGTAGGTGGATAAAACTCTCTCCAAAGCAGAGAATTTTTCCATATGGTATTTTTTAAGGAAGGCTAAGAGTGTTGATTCAACTTTGGTTGCATGTGATAAAACTCCATCATACCTCTTTTCTAAACCACTAAGTTCTTTTACAAGTCCAGAATTACCAAATGAAGGATAACTGACTTTCATTTTCTCAATTTTAGCTTTTAATGAATCTAAACTGGAACTAAGTCCAGAAAGTTCTTGCTTCAGAACTTGACATTTTTGTAATCTGTCCAGGATTTTTGTGTTTTCTCCAGTTAAATCATCACATTTAATTACTGATTCTCGAATTTTTGTAATGCTATCACTTGCCTTCTTGATATCTTCACATATGCCTTTTTCTTGTTCATTGAAAGTGCATGCTATATCTTCTAATTTATCTGCAATGCTTTTGAGGTATATAAACTGCTCATCCAGTAATGAGTTCAAAGAATCTAATGTCAAAATTGGCTTTCCATTATTCAATTTGACTAACTGAGATGATTTGGTTGCAATGCTCACTTTAATATTATAGTATGTAGGTAATTCATCTTTGTAACGATTTAACTGGGCCATGGAATTATCAGCATCTGACAAAGAATTCAAAGCAGTAGAAAGAGTATTATTTGTATCCTCTAGCCAATGAATGACTTCATCTTTTGAATCATCGATCTGCTTCCATATGATTAACTGAGCCTCCAAATTTTGTACTTTTTTACTTGCTGTATCAAATGCATCTTGCCAGCAGGAATGCAGATCAGCAAGTTCATTCTCAATAATAGTTATGTTAAAATTAGGCACAGATTCAACTTGTTTTATTATAAGTTGACTTTTACTGTCTACAGAATCAAGAAATGGTTTTACTTTTTTCAAAATTTCTAAACCTTTTTTAGCCTTATCATATGAACTTGTTGCAAGTGTCATATCACTGATTTCTTCTTGTCCCGATATCAATGGAACAGCTTCTTTTACACCTAGTAATACCTTTTCTTTACACTCAGCAAATTGTTGCCATGCAATGTTTAATTCATAAAATTTTGATTTTTGTTCTTTCAACATTTCATTAACTTTCTCCCAGTTACCATCTACAGAGGCAAGGATGTTCTGAATAACAGATATATTACTTTGATCCTGCTCCATTAGGATTTTTCCATCATTATGCATATCATTCTTTACTCCTTGTCTTAACTGATGTTCTTCCAGAAGAGAGCTGAATTTTTTAAAAGTAGGTTCAAAATTATCACAGCTGACTACAGACATCAACAATTCTTGCAAAGCATCTTGTGTAGACAGTAAACCATTTGACAAATCATTTTGAAGATGTTGGAAATGAGACCAACGACTGCTCACTTCTTGCAAAATTTCATGTTGGTGAGTTAATCTGCCTTGAAGTAAATTCACCAAGGACTGTACATCTCTTACTAGGCCAACAGCAGTAATTAATTTATCAGACTTCTTGTCTTTAATCTGTGTCTTATGAAGTTTGCTCGCAGAGTCTATTTCTAGAGCAGTGTTCTCCCATGCAGTTATTTTTGTTGAAATATTTTCTAACTCCTCATTAATGTTTTTCAAATCTTCAGGACTGTATTTCTGGGTATCAAGTTGGTACTGGATGTGTCGCAGATAGTCAGTAGTGTCCCCATGCCATATCAGAAGTTCTGACCACTTCTCAAGAGCTGCTTTCTTTGCTTGAAGCGAATTCTGCAACACCTATAAATTTCATTATCATTTATTCAGATATTCAGATCAATAATGTATTGTATAATAAAATAACATGTACAAGAACATTTAATTAGTTTCTAAACTTTTAGAAAATAATTTAGGCAAAAACGGAAATGAAAATAAAGTAGCAAAAGAACCTGAAAAAATACCTGATATCTTGTCACCAAGGTTGAATAATTGTCATTCAAAGATGCTGCTTCATCAGGTGTACCAAGAGTCAAAAGATTTTTAACTTCATTGTATATATGGTTGAAAATCGGCTGTTTTTCTGAATGTTCCTGAAGAAGAGCTAGAACTGTCTGAAGAGCAGAGTCTACTTTATCCAGTTCTATTTCATCTACTTGCAACACATTATTCTCCAATTGGTCCATCCATTTGACAAAACCTGTCATTTTTGCTTCAAATTCTTGCCTACGAAATGATGCAAAATTATTTGATAAGTAGTAAGTAAATTAAAATATTTCTTTAATCCTGATAGCAAATACTTCATACAAACCTTGCCAATATTGCATCAGATATAACATTTATATGATGTCTAATGGCCTCTGCAACTCCTGTGAGTCTGTTCTTCACATCTGTAATTCCACTTTTTATAACTGCTCCACCTTCCAGGGCTAAATGTGGTGCTATAGCATCTGACAACTGTGCAAGTGATACAAGATCTGCTTGCTTCTCTGACACATCTTTGTTCAATACCTAAAAATGTAATTTATTAAATCAATATTACCTTTTTAGTTAAGTACCTGGTGTCCACAAAATGATAATAGTTCCTAACTAAGTGTTTAATGATCAATTGTATCATTTAAATACAATGTAATGACAAATATATTTTTCTCCACATTCCTAATCTAACTTAATTTGCAATTATCTTCCAATTATTTTACTGAAAGAAATATTAAACATTTTATCAAAAAATAAAATATTTCTTGAACTTCAAAATGTTAATAACAATTTGAATTTCAAAGACTATTAAAAAAGAAATTACTGATAAGTTGATTAGTTTTATAGTCATGTTGATTCACATTTTATTCTAGCTATCCATAAAATAATAATTACCTTCAACTCTGCTAATTTCTTCTCCAGTTTTCCAACCTGTGATGAATTATCTTCCAAAGGTTCAACTTGTAAAACCTGTTCCTTATCCCTGATCCAATTTTCTAGTTTATTTTTCTCACTTTCAAGCTTTTCCCAAGAGCCAATTAATTTATCAAGAGATGAACCCCACTGAAGGGAAACATCATGAACAGCAGCCCATCGTGAATGAAGTGCATCAATTTCATTGGCTGCATTACTAGGCGATGTTATTTGCTGACTTAGTACTGCAATACCCTGTAACTTACTCAATGTTTCTTCACACTGAACTTCAAATGCCTGAAAATTTAATATTTGTTTAAATAAGTTCCACAATTAAATCACTCTCACATATTTTAAAATATTCACTGTTTTTAGATGACATAACATAGGGATTCAAAATACCAACCTTAGCATCTTGCTGAAGTTGGTAAGCTTCCTGAAGATTTACAGGTTTCTTCATTCCAACAGACACTTTAACTTCTGCCTTTTCTACCCATGGTTTAACCTCTTGAAGACCACCAAGACATTCTTGCCAGCTAGCCATATCATGGCCCACAGATGCTACTCTCAATTCTACTGTATGTTGCAAAGCCATAAGAGCTTTTTGCAGATTATCTATGTCAGCATACAATAATTCTTTATCCCTGTCATCACCTTAAAAATAAAAACAATAATTATAAATATTGACGTATTTGAAAATATTTAAATCAGACAGGTTCAAAATAAAGCCTGTAATTTAATGAAACAATAAGAATCTCAAACAAGCATTAACATCTATGATGAATACAATTATCATAGTCTTGAACTGCACGATGACAGGTCTGTCACCTGTTTCTTTTTTGTACAGAATCCCTGGCTGTTTATACCTCTAGGTTCCTGTTCCCTCCATTTTTTCCTTGTTTGTCCAATTCCTTTTAGACCTGTAGGTTTGTACACATCAGCTGGTTTTGGATGTCTTTCATTTTTCACCCATTCTACATTATAATAATTTGTTGCGATTTCATTTTATTTTTCTACAATTTTTTTGTTTTGTTTTCTATCTTTTGCTTATATTCATATTCATTTGTCAACATAGGTTTAGGTGTCATATAGGTACTAGCAATTTCTTTTCTTGAGCCATATCTCTTCCAATTTCTTCCTTCCAAAATTCTCTTCTTAATTATTCCAATACATCTAATATATTTCTTGATTTTAATTCCTAGGTCTTCTTCATTTTACCCAATATTGTTGTCTACATAGCAAAACTTTGACACATTTTCTATTTTCATTCATTGTATAACTACCAGCTTATCAATCTTCCTTTCCTTGAAAGGCCCTTGCATTGGTTCTACATGTAAAATTATCATGGTATACAATCTTGCTATTTTGTACAGTTCATTTGCAGCAATATATAGATTATCTTTCATTTCCATTACAATTACCAAACCATCTGCATAAACCATTGTATTTTTTGGTTTTTCCTTAACGGAGCAATCACTTCCATTTCTTCATCATGTATTTGGCATAGATATTGAGAAGACATGATAATTACCTTCATTCTTGTTTTGATCCCCTGTTAATTTTAAAAGCAACTGTGATGATCCCATCACTAATTTTAATCCTTATTTTTGAATCTGAATAGAGACTTTTGAATTCCTTCAATTATTTCTCGGTCTTTTTCCTCATTCATAATTTCCCATAATTTTTTCTATCACTTCACCTCGCACAAGCTCTTTTAAAATCAGAAAATAGTAAAAAAGTTGGTAAATCCATTTCACTGCATTTTTCTTGGATTATCCATTTTGTAAAAACGGTATCCGTTGTACCACTGCCTTTTCTAAATTCTTGTTGATTTTCTCTCATAAAAATTCTATCCAATTTTGAATTATCCATTTTGTTTCTTGACATATCAACAAACAATTGTGAAGCTTTTAATAGTAAAATAATTCCTCTGTATTTATTGCTCATTGTCTTTGAGCCTCAACTTCTTGGGACTATATTCCTACTGTGCTTTGTAAAATGGCTCCACTGTTTTTCATCTGTTTTCCACCATATTTTATACATTTCCTGTAATTTTCCATAGAATCCAGGGCTTTTCCTATTTGTGGTCATTTTAAAATTTTGCTCCAGTTCTTCTGTTTTGATCGTTTGTCCGATTTTTTGATCTGCGTTCTTCCTCATTTCTGGTAAGGCATCAGAGCAGTTTTTAATTTTCAACCCATTCCCATTTTAGTAATATATACTTTACCTTTTGTGCTTATTAAGCATTCTTTGAACCTAGAGACCAATCATTTGGGGCCCACTGATTTGATCTTTCCAATGATTTTAAAAATTTGTCAATTTTTTTTCTGATTTTTCAGGTGAATTATCTTGGTTGTGCTCCATATCATTTGGAAATTATGCAATCCTTATAATTATGCTATTGCATTATTATTAATTATTTTTCTTCTACACTTTTTTGGTGTTTGAATTTATAAACATTTTTTAGTTACTTCCAACAATGGCTGTTTTGGAATTAACTGACTTTTGCTATATTATGTTAACAAATACTTTGTAATTTCTCTTTATTCTATTTTTAGAAAGCTGGCTGATACCGGATTCTTCTAAAACATGTTTTTATTTTTTGGAAAATTTTTAGTTTTCTGTCTTATTTCATTTTGCATTTTAAATTTAAGTTCTATTTCTAATAAATAATGAACCGTGTCAACTCCATTTCCACTAAAAAATTTTCTATTTTTTAACTTTGTTAGAATTTTTTAGAAGAAAGAAATGCATATATAGCTTGTTCATTGAGAGTACCACACTCTATGGGGCAGAAGTCTGGACACTATTAAAAAAATTGAAAGACAAATTTCAATCAACAGAAATGATGTTCTGGCAAAGATGTTGTAAACTTTCTCTGTTAGATAAAATAAGAAATGATGAAATAAGAAATAAAATGAAAGTGCAAACAACCTTGAACGATACAATCGAAATGAGACAACTAAAATGGTATGGACATATGAGAAGGTTGAAATTGGATAGACTTCCTCAAAAAGTTTGGGAGTGGATACCAGATTGAAGAAGATACAGGGGAAGACCGAGAAGAACATGGAACATGGCAATAACTGAAGCCATGGAAAAAAGAGAAATGGAAGAAAACGATGTATGGGATAAAGAGGCATGGATATTGGGATGCGGAAAACGGCCAAGGCTGTAAAGAACCGCTAAATAGATAGATATAATTTTTTAAATTTACTATGATAAACTACTGGTACATAATAGATATATATTTTAGTTTTTTGGTAGTTGATGAGCTGAAACCTCCATATTGTAATTGCATTATTTCCAGGAAGCCAGCTCCCATTTCAAAATTCTATAAATCTCAACGACCTGCACAGCTTATTGATAGAATGATATTCAAAGATCACATTGAAATGTAATTAATTATGCCAACAGTTCAATATACATTGTTTCCAACCAATTCAAAAGTAAAGTTATATTTAATGTCATATACAAGTTTTTTCATTAGTGAAAGTGCCCTGTGAGAATAGGAGATACTCAATTTTATTTTTTTTCCCCGATATTTTCACAAACACTAGAATATTTACAAACACATTACCTTGTATTACTGCATTTCCCTCTTGTTGAAGCTTATCCAAAAGAAGCTTCTTCTCTTTTAATTCCATTTCTAGCATATGAGCTTTCTTGACACGATCTTCAGGTGCCATATCTTCTTGTTGTAACTGTTCAAGTACAAGTGGAGCTCTTTGTTGGGTCCATTCACTTATTCCTCTCAATTGAGAATTAAAATTAAGCCATTGTGCTTTACTGTGTTCTAAATGTATAACATGCTCTTGCATTGATTTCATTGTATCTTGAAGCCTCCTTTCTATGTCCATTACCTAGAAAGGTAAGCAAATAAATCAATAAGATATCTGTAAGCAATGTGTTTTCCTTTTGTAATGGAATTGTGTGAATATTATTACATTTTTCATTTGAAACAATTCATCTACTAAAAGTTTCAAACAAACAAAATTTCAGCCACTTTAATATTAACTAGTTAATGCTGAAGGGCACATCATTACAAAAGACATATCTGGAGTTATACATTAGTTTAATCAATGTATTGTTGACCCAAGAATGCCTACTGTTCTGGTAAAATGTTTGCACAGTCAAATACAACCTAGAGAATTTGTTATTTACACTAAGATGAAGGATCTACCATTTCTTCAAGTTTTCCAAATTTATGGGTACTGTCCAATGATGGTAAGTACATTATTCGAATGGAAACCATTATAACCCAAATTTAAGACAATTTAGAAGACTACAAACAGTGCTATAAAAGCATAATAAATTTAATAATATCAATTGGTGTAAGAATATAGTAGAGACGGTCCATGATATTTTGAACATTAATGTTCCAAATTACAAATATGAAAATGTTTTTGAAGAATTCAATTCTATCATAATTGTATTCTTCATATTATCAGTAACTAACACAACATTTTGGTAACTTTTTGTTTGGTGCTTTTGGCATTTCTCTTTCAAAAGACAAGACATCATGTCAGATAGCAAAATTCTCATTAATGTTGTTTCTCTGTCCTAAAAAATTGTGGAAATTAATAGGTACCTCCTTCTGAAGAAGAGGCTTCCGTTCTGGAGCTGTCAGCTTACACAGTGCTTGACACTGAGTTTGAAGATGCTGAAATTGCTCTCCAGTTGCTTTATGAAGAGCCACATTTAAATCATGTTTTGTTTGAAGATCTTCAGTTACTTGTTGACTCTGTGAAGATACTGGAACTACCTTACTAAGTTCTCTTTCTGCTTGTTCTAACAGCCTCAAAATTTCTGCCTTTTGTTCCTTGTATGAATTCCACACTTTTTGAGTACCTGAAGATTTACAAAATATACAATTTTTGTTGTACTTAAAAGTAACTGATTTACTAACTTTAATTGCAAGGATATGATATTTAATCAAAGGAACCATGATGATTAAAAATAAAATATCTTGAAATTAAGATGGAAGAAATTGCATTTAAATAAATAAAAGTATTACATCTATAGGTATTATCTCACAACTCATAACTGCAATAGTCCATTACATATATATTATTAAATTTTAACCTTCTGGCAATGAAGTCACATAAACGTCTTTTAGCATGAATAATACACCAAATTGTATATTATTTGTATAATTCCTACCAGACTAAGAACAGCTACACAGTTGCGTAAATATCTGTATTAAAACGATTAAAATATAATAATTCTAGTATTATTTCTAGATTATTGTAAATATATTTATCTTTAAATGGAACAGAGGGTATTGATTACATGAAATGCAAGAGGGACCCTTCGTTAAGCCTAAGTCAGTTTAAATTACCTTTTAAGTTTTTAAGTTTTTCAACAGTCTGTTTATAAGCATCATTCCAACTATTTTCTAGAGTTGTCACTTCTGGTTTGATGAACGTTGGAGCATTATTATCCCTCATTAAATCTTTTCCTCTCTGCAGCATGCTCAAAATATTAGATCGTTGTTGATCCAGCTGGGTTACTGCAGACTCTTGCTGCTTAATTAAAGAATTCACAGAATCAAGTGTTTCAGGATGAGGACCAGACATTGATGTTTCTTTGACTTTTTGCAAAAGGCCACAGACCTAAAAGAGAAAACATAATAGAAAACATAATAATAATAATAGTAATAATAATAATAATAATTATAATAATAATAATTATAATAATAATAGTAGTAGTAATAATAATAATAATTATTATTATTATTATTATTATAATTATAACTGATTTTCTGTAATTTTGTTACCTCTTCTACAAAATATGCAAGTAAACAAATAAATTACATACCTCTCTAACTTCCTTCAGATAAATATAACATTTGTAATGCACTTCAGTCTTTACTAATGTAAGTTCAATTGTTGGAATGAGATTCTTGTAACGAATAATGAGTTGTTCCAATTCTTGCTGCTCTCTTAAGGACACTTCATCAGAACAGTGTGAAACAAGAGCATCTAATGTCTGTACTAACCATTTCATATCTTCTCTTCTACTATCTACATTTCGGCAAATATCCTGCAATAGTTTATTTATTTCTTCAATTATTTTAAAAATAATAAGTAATAAGGTATTTGAAAATTTGAAACTGCTGTCAACTTAAAAACCATTTTTCAACTTTGAAGATGCAAAAACACATACTAAGTGCAAATAGCATGTTTGCATTCCTATTTTTTTAACTTACACAAATTTTACTTAAGAGCTTTTAAAATGAATGTAAAATGCATGATATACTATATTAAACTTGAAAGAAAAATTATGTTGTCACCTGAAAAACAGCTCGTTCTTTCTCAAATTCTTCAAGGCTGTCAACTTCTTTCTCAAAGGTTTTCAGACTGACATCTACCAAATCCATCCATTTTACCATTTCAGCATACCTAATTTCAAAAAATTCAACAACAAAAAATTAGCTTAAAATAAAAAAAATTCTTGGACAAAATTTGTAAATATGGTAAGATTAACTGATATGTATAATAAATATAGTAACTGAATTTTACCCCAACTTTTTAGAAATAAAATAAATTTATTAGTAAATAATAACAAAAGTACCCTGACTACAAAACCAACATGTCTGACATTTCTGTTACATGGGGAATATTAATTGTGAGCATTTAGTTGTATAATTTATGAATATGAGAAATCACATATTGATTAAGAATATTCTTATGTTCAAAATAAATATAATGATAGGTGTAATTACAATAAACAGTAATATTATGAGTAAAGAGAAAGTATTGTAACAAAAAACATTGTGACAAAAATAGATGATTTTTTGGCACAAAACTTTGTCATGGGGGTCTGATATCAAAAAAGTGGGTAATTATTGTTCCTATATAGAGTAATAAATTACTTCTTCTAACATGTTGCATAGTCAGAATTCACGTTTTGTGGGTTTTTGCTACAACACAATTACTTGAAAGCAAAATGTCTGTCCATCCAATGTCTTCCTACAACTACAATATTAAAGATGAAATTTTTTTCTTAATAAACACTGTTCTTCAAAGACCTTTCTTTAAAAACTGTCATGTGGTTATGAACAATTTTTTCAAAAATTTAATTACTTTTTGCATAACTTTTCTTGAAATTGATACAAAACAATAAAATGTCAAAAACAGCTACTAATTTTCCCTGAAATTTTTTGCTCAGATAGAGAATAGATTCTTAAAAAATAGCACCAATTTATGGTGAAATGTCTGTATTTTCACACAAAAAATTAGCAATACAAAAATACAATATTGTTGCTAGAGATTTTTTCCCTTAATGAAATTTGTTCTTTAATACTAGATGTTGAAATAATGTTCCAGTAGAGGAGCAAGTTGGGTGTTTTATATAAGCCTGGGTTAATTGATTTCTTATAGTATTTGTAATGGAAAATGCAATGTTCTAACTATTTATGTCTGTTCATTAATACCCTATTATTTTACAATTTTTTAAGCTAATACTTTCTGTTTTACCGGTCGGGAATAGACATTCTAAAATGAGTACCATGGTGTGATTGTACTTGAATTAATAAATATTTGAAGAAAAATCAACTACATCATGAATTTAACTAAGATGTTAGAAAGGTTAATATTATTATAAAATGCAGCTTTATATTAAAAGAGAATAGGTAATTAAATTAAAGTTGGGTTCCCACTAGTGTGGTCTTTGAGTGTGAGACCATGCTGGAATAATACAAACACTATTATATAAAGAGTAAATTTCTTCACAAATACTTCTCTAACACAGATTTGATACCAAACTTCAAAAAATTACCTTATACTGTTTGATACTAATGCTATTCACATAATGGTATTTTCACTTCTTTCTCATAAATCACAGCTCGCATTTTAAAGAAAAGGAAAAGTACATATTGTTTTATTAGTCTTTCTGCCAAATTTGCACCCAATTTTCAACTTACTTGGACTTGTAATTCTGCCACTGAAGAGGAACTTGTTGTAATTGTTTTCTTAATTCTTCAATACGAAGAGCAGCATTTTTCCACAAATTTTCTGCTCTTATGTAGGCAGTGTGTAAAGATAAATCATCAGGTTTTCTGAGTTTATAGTTTGTACTTATTTTGTTCATATTTGATAGGCATTTCTTCAACTCTGACACAATTGGTTTCTCCTCAAAGAATGCCTAAGTGAAACACCACATAATGATTTCTATATATATTCAAATTTCACTACTTTCACAAAATCTTGAATTGCTTTTCTTAACCTTTTTTTAAAATTTTTTTATTATATCACTATGTAATGCTACTAAATGTATGTAGACAGATCTTACCACATGTCTTGATAATATTGAATTTACATCTTCACGTTTATTGAAGGCTTGGTGTTCTGCATTGATTTCTTTTTCTACTTCTTTGATACACATATTGAATGTCATTTCATCCAGGCAGAACTCCAAATACATTAAGTGGAGAGGAGCCAATGAAACCATTTCCTATAAAAATGGTATAAATAAGAAAATATATCTTTTCTTTTACTAAACTATTTTAATTGGTACTCTATGCTATTTGTTTAGTTTTTAATTTTTACTACAGAATGAAAAAAAATGAGAAATTTATTTTACAAAGAGAAATCTATTTATAAAAAAAGAAAAATGTATTGCAAAACTGAGATACCTTCCACTTTGCTTGAGCTCCTTCAACTTTATTTATCACTTGAGAATGATATTCCATGGGAAGACAATTACATAAGTCTTGTCCAGATATGACAAGGTCATGAATCCACTGTTCATTTACTTGTTCAAAGAATGTCTGTAAAGATTATATGAAGTATTTAATAAATATATGAAATCACTGTATGTAATACACCATAATATAATAAGAATACATTAATAGAGATGGAACCATGAGAGAAGAGGAGAATTTAATCACAGAATTAAGAATATTTTTAAATATTTAATAAATGTTTAATTTGAGGTTAATGCTCATTCAAAATTGAATAATAAATAATACACAACAATAAAATATAATAGATTAATTGGCTTAGTTATTAAGCATTTCTGAAAAAGTTTCCCTCCCATCTCCCACCAGATCTGATTTTGCATCTAATTTTATGTTCCATACAGGAAATGTTAAAAATGAAGAAAATATAATTGTGCTCAAATGTAAGATCTACTCTCAATTCCAATTTTTCATAGTGCATTATCTATTCATTTACCTGTCCTGTTTACATTTTAGATTATAAAGCTGAAAAATCCTTTTTTTAATAATACATAACTTAATAACTTTCTAGAAATTATTTATCCAATGTCAAAGTGTTATAAAATGTTAACCTTACCTTGTGAGATTCTAATTTTTGTTTCTTGTCTATATGTTTATCAGATATAAGTTTTTCTGCATTTAGTAACCATTCCATAACTGTGTGCTCAGCTTCTCGAAATTTGGTCCAACATCTTAAAACTTCTTGAAATTTCTGAAATAAAAATAATTACATTTAAGTGTGTAGGGTGGTAAGTAATGTGTCTGTAATGTGTCTAGTAATAATATCATAAATTTACCTGTTCCCACATATGAGCGTGCTGTGTTGTAGATGCAAATCGGTCATTCAACTGATTCATTTTGTGACTAAAATCAGAAGCATCAACACCGTCAGTATGATCAACAGACTTCACAATACTTTGAAAAACTTTATTTTTACTATCCAGCATTGATTTGTAGTACAACAAACGGGAAAAGAAAGCCTGTGAACAAAAGTATATGATACATTTCCTCCCAATTCAACAGAAAAATATGCAAGATTCAGAAACAGGAATAGCTTGGTACTTTGTGCTTATCCAGTTGGCTCTGCACAGCTTCTGGGTCTCCAGATACAGAGAACGAACTCAAAAGAGTTTCTGCTTCAGATAGCCATTGACTTATTTCCTTCTGCCCAGCCTCAAGAGACTCTTGTTGTACTAAAATCTGATGGAATAAATGCAGCTGCATAGGAATGAGAGCCCTTACTCTCACCAAAGCCTCTGTAACAAAAACAGTTGTTTTCTTATGTAGATATTACATTTCTCAACAATGTGCAATGGAATTCACACTTAACGTTTATTTCTTTGCAAAGCTTCCTTGGAAAAGAAAGATTTTTAATACCAAACTCAATTCTGTCATCATTTCAAAGACCCATGAACCACTATTTTACTTCTTTCCTCTCCTTTCTATCTATATTTCATAAAAACAAATTATAACACCAATTATAATATATATTATATCTACTTTCAGTATTACAAGGTGTCTTTTTATCTATGGTCATACTGGTTCCCAGTATCAATTATATTTTTCTAAACCTTCATACAACATTAAATCTTTTTTTAAATGGAAATGTTTGGTGCATGTTGCATTTTACAAACTATAAAAATAAAACAGTTCACAATTTTTTAAAGCTTTAATGAGAAAAATTTGATGAAATCATGTTTCTGCAAGTGGAATTAATTTAAAGAGCATACAATCAAACAGGCGCGAATCCATGAGAAGGGAAATTTCCCTCCCTCAAAAATTTTCAGTATCTACCAATTTTAACTTGTCACAAAATTTTCAAGCACAAATATTGTTTAATCAAACAGTTGTGAATGAAACAAAGGATTTAAGAAGGTTTATTAATAAAAGATAAAAGTTTGGTCCCAAGGTATGAGGTAGCCTACTTACTAATTCTCCTCAGTTTATTAAACTGTTAAATTCCAGATCTTATTAAACATTTCATTTTTAAAGACTATTTTAAAACTCAGTTTATTTTTAAAAATGCTTACAAATAATGTTGAGGACAACATAGTAGCTGCCATTCATGACTATCAAATAGTTTGTAGGAAGTATATGAATAGCCACTTAGCATTATTGGCTTGGGATAAGATAAATTTCCAATATGGCATATGCAAAGTCTACATATATTCTTAGGGAGATATGTCTGTTCTTTCAGAAGTTTGAAAAAAGTGAGTATTTGCAGTATCAAAATTGTTGCTGAATATATCAAAAGACTTTTATGAAAAAGAAAATAAACATCTGCAAATAGAAGATTGAGAGGAAAGAGAGAGCTATTTCAGGGATTTTACTTGCGCATTCCTATAATAAATAAAACACTTAAAACTTTTTACTCACTTTGGAGTTATTACTAAGAGTAGAGGGCACCTTGACAAAATAATATGTTGGTAAGTACATATATTTTAAATAAGAAACGTTGACAATGTGTACATACTGTTGCTATGATAAAACTCTGATCCTGCTGCGATAAGGTAATACTACTTTTGGACAGGAAAAAATCTGATTAAAGTTACTCATTATCGTATTTAAAACCTAACATTTACATCTCAAATAAAAGAGAAGATCAAATTAAATCTTTGAAGATTCTAGCGATCTGCTGGTTATGTGCGATGTGCAATGTTCACTTATTTTCAGACACCCCCTCCATTTAGCTCTACCAACCTAACAGAAACAAGAGGGAAAGAAGGATCATAGGAATGGACACACATGAAATAAACAAGGTTATTATAAGATAGATTGAAGCAGATTTATTGCAGAAATGGCACACAATTCATAAACTAATTTCTTTTAAGTTTTGCACCATAGCCCAGAATGGATCTCGGCACAGTCTCTGGCAATCTTAATACCAACTCAACCAGGTGCATAGCCATGTCCTTGTGAACACCCCCTCGGGCCAGTGTTTATGAAGGGGACACCAGCTGCATTCAGTGTTGTTTGTGTGAACCCCAGTTACAGGATCCATGAAGTGAAGAGAGTGGTTCATTGCCCCATGGATAACGTTGTTTTAATCTAGCTGGATGTATCCCCTTTAGAAGTCAGTGAAAATTTTGATGCCAGATTCCACATGCTGTAAATTAAATTGCAACAATGTGGCTGAATCCCTTCTGTCATTGGGGCACACTTCCAGACAAACTTCTCTCATTTCCCGATCAATCACAAGAGAAGTATAACCACACGAAGTGCACAATAGCACGGCAAAACAGTGAATGAATTGCATAATTGGTACCATATGTGTTCAGCACATGGTGGGGGTCATTCAGGAACAAGTAAATGCCACACTCTGCACATAACCAGCAGATATCTAGAATACCCAAATCTTTCATTATAGAGACCTATTGAAGATGTTCAAATACACCAAAATAATCAATAGTAATGGATCATGAACTGAATCTCTGTAGAAAACTTATTTTTTGAGGAAAGTTGTTACCTTTTTCCTTTTTTAATGTATTCATCATTCGATCAACTTCTTCTCTTGACAGGTCCTGTATCATTGACTGAAAGATCTTGCTGACATTTTTGAAGAGATCTTCAATGGCTTCTACCTCATTTTGTAAATGCTATAATGCAAATTTATACAAAACAAATATGCAAATATATAAGCAATATAAAACTGTTACATTTATAAAGATATAATATGTACTTAAGGAGTTTCTACAAATAAAGTCACTTACCTGAAGTTGTTGACCATAAGCTTTAATGCTTTCAGTGCTACTGAGATGTGATGATGATATTAATGTTTCAGCATTGTGCAGCCATTGTTGCAGTCTCTCCAATCCTGCTCGATATTCTTTTCGATTTCGCAAGATGTCTCCAGCATGCATATATTGTTTTACATGCTAAAAATGTAGTACAAAAGATAGAAAAGTCCGTCAGTTTCAGTTCAAATATTATAATCCATTTTGAAATTGTTTAGTGAGCATTATCTCAAACATCACAAGTATTGAATGGATGTTTATAATTTGTTTATTATGTGCAGCAATATTAAAAAAGAGATGAATATAGATGTTTCATAGTTTTGCTTGAATGTTAGAAGCTCAAAATTTATAAGGAAACTTTTTTCTGACAACATAGAATTTCAGTTTCAAAAATCTGTTAGACTTATTGAGATTTAGTTTAACTAAGTAACCCACATGAAAGCAAAAATAATTATGACATAATAGATAACAATGGATACGAGATCTTCTCATATTCTTTAGAGAAAACTGAGCAGAGAATTATTCATCTCTTTCAATAATTTTACATAATCAAAAGTACAATATAATCTGAAATATAATAATCTTATAATATATCAGTCAGCAGATAATGTGAATATACTGAAGAACTTCACAATAACTCTTCTGTACCTGTAACTTAAATTCTAAATAATAATTCTTCCTTCAGCAATTTAATTCAATTCAATATTAGTAATTGCCTACTGAACTGTTAATTTACTGTACCTTTATCCTGTACCTATCCATGACACATCCATACTATTTTTCACTTACATGAAAAACTTTTATTGAAAATGCTTTTACATTAGTTAATTTTAAAGTATCCAATAATTCACTGTTTGGAACTTTTTAAAGGAGATACCTTTTAATATGTTACAATATACATAAGATGTAAATTCTTTACCTGAAATAAGTCTTCCCAGCGAGTTGATATATGGACATACTGCTCTTTGAGTTCACTAGCCACCTGATCTTCACATGTTGCAATAAGAAAACTAACTGTATCACCCAGAAGTTGATATTTATCTTTCCAAATACTGACATCCTATAATATATAATAGCTTTGCTTAGCAACTTTATGTTATTTTATACACAATATGACACTATCAATAATGGAAATGGTAATAATGAACATTATAACAGTAGTCACCATAACAATGCTAAAATACATTTCAAAATTTGTAAATTATAAATGAAATATAACACTATATGAAAATTTTGAAAATTAATAAGTTAATTCATCTATGAGGTTTTTCAGTATAATGCAAGAAATGTACATTACAATGCTGTTTGTAACATTTTCTTTTTTAATGTATGAGGAAAAATCTCAAAGTACTTTGTAAGATGTTTAGTAGATTGTGGAATGAGTTTGTTTAGTAGATGTAACAAGTGGATTTTAAAATTACATTAATATGGTGCTAATCCTCTGAAAGTTATTATGTTAAGGAAAACTATGAATTGTTGTAAAAAGGTAATTTCAGAAAACAGTTATGGAGGGAAAAGAGAAGGAAATGGAAGAAAGATTATATTTGACACAATTAAGAGATAAAACCAATTAGAAAATAAGTATTTGCATGAGCAAGAGAGAAGGTGAATATCAACTGTTGTTTGTTTTCAGTCAGTATTTCATAGAAACAAATTGAAATGTTGTGTGTACCTGGAAGTACTCCATTTTATCTTCTTCTGGAAGATCCAACATGCCATATGCACGATCAAGCCAAGATTCAAATTCATCAGACATTGTGTTCCAACGACGCCAGTATGCTACAACTTCTTCCAACATGCTTTGCACACATCGTAATTCCATTGATACATTTTTCCATCGTTCTCCAGTGTCACGCAAAAAACGATCAATGCTTAAACTTTCTTGCTGGTCTGTTAAAACACAAAGGAAAACCAATGACACAATCTCAAATAGCAAAGATAATAAAAGCTGAGGAGAGAAGTTTTCACAATAACACATTAATTTCTATGAAGGAACCAAAAAAATATGAAAGCCCAGAATGTTGTCAAACTTACTTTCACAAATTTCCTGTAAAAAATAAATGTGAAAAGAATAATATGACCAAAATTAAATGGCATTAAAGTAATACTAACCTACATTACCATCTTGTTTATATTCATCAACAACTTGTTGCATGTCAAGGAAAGCTTTGTTGAACTCTTGAAAAATACGATTACGGGACACAAAATTACGATACTGTTCCAAGAGTTGTTGAACTTTCTCTTCTCGGCCATATTTAATAGTCCAACCACGTAATTTACTTTCAGTTAGGTGAAGGAATGCAATTAGGCAGCACTGGAGAACAAGGAAAACAATTATTAATATGACAATCCTATGTATTTATCTCTTATGAGAATCTCAGCATTGTGAAGTATGCAATTTTGAATATTCAAGTCTATTCAAAATATTTAATGTTGTCACATAAATTTAACACAGTTCTTGAATTATTACACAGACACACTTACTTAATAAGAAAGATGAAACTTAATCAGAACATTTCTATTTCACTAAAAAATGTTTAATGGAGTCTATATTTTATCAGAAAACTTAATACAATCCAGGATAATTCATACCTTGTGCTCAAGGAATTTGAGTCGTACTCGTCTCTGTGCTGCCAAAGGTCCAATAGCTTCCAAACGACGAGCCATATTTTGTAACTGATCAGCATTCACCTCTTGATGAAGAGCACTACGTGCTTCTTCAAACTTATTTTTAATGGCAGGTAAATCAGCAAAGAAGACCTATTGAAAATAATATAGCTTCCAGTACTATATATTAGACATTTTAATGCAATAAAAATTCTGAATGGCAGTAAATGAAACACATCTATGAATGTGCTATTTCAAATTCTCTGCAGCTTCAAAATTTATAATTTCAGACTGACTCAGACATATTTTACTCTATTCCTCTTACATTATAAAGAAAATACCAAAACTGCTTGAATCCTATTAAATGTTTCAATTCCAAATTTAAAAATAGCTGACATTATAATAATTCATACTAAATATGTTCTATCATACATTAAATTGTATATTATATAATCCTATATCTTAAATATTTCTGATTACTTATCTATGTGAGGGATGTCTCCACTCAATTTAGGTATTGAGTAAATTAGTCTTAACCTTGCAGTCACCTATACTTAAATTGATTACTTATATATCCCACATGTAAAAATATTATTTATATATAATTTTACTGAATGATGCCCTTACAATATTATTAGAATAAAAGAAATTGTTGAGTCTTTTTAGTTTTTTAGTTTTGCTTTTGTTTTTTGTATAGCTTCTTTAAATAAAAAAAATAGTAGTACATTTATTGCTTAAGGAGTAATGTTTAGTTAACAACTTATTTATAATCATTTAATTTTGTAATACGTATTATAATCATTAAATTGGAAAACACTTTATATTTTTACCTTATGTTCTTCTAGCTTGTGACTAATAATGCTTGCTGTCTCTTCATTCATTGCAGATGGAATATCATCAGAAGAAATAATTGCCTCTGCTCGGCTCAACCATTCTCCGACTATTCGAAGAGGTCCAGGAAGACTTGAGTCAAGAAGCCACAACCATTTTTGAAGCTTTAAAAATAATACAAAACTATATTATAGATATTCTAAGTTTATTTTGTGAATCACTGTCACAAAGGTTCTTAATTCAGTTAATTAAATTATTTTATTTTATCTAGTGACAGTCTTTTGTTCATTACAAACTAAGAATTTAAAAACATTCAAGACAATTTTTCAACATGAATACTTTTTTCTTTCTTTTTTTTCATATTTTTTTCTCTCAAGGAAAGTAAGGGATCATATTACTTAAAACAGAGAATAATTAGCAAAGCATTAGAATAATACAAAATTATATCAATTCTCTGCATAATAAGCATTTACTAGTACTTACTACAACCTTCCCCTCACAAAGTGAAATTGAGGGAAAAATCTTACAAGACTGTCTTGATTACACTTGTTTAATTTTAAGTCATTTAAGCATAAGAATTGATTTCAAATTGAGTGAATGATCATAAATATTCCACAAAACACTGATCTTTATTTGAACAAATACATTTTTAAAAAATGACAAACCACACAGGCTTGAGATTTAAGGATTAACTATTCGCATCATCTTTACAGAATACAAGTTGTTTACTTTTAAGGAATATACACAAAAATAAATAAAATAGCATTTTACTCTCCAAAATACACATACCAGCATGTGCAATTTATTCCACAGTCCTTTAATTTCATTCCATGATTCAGCTGTAATGCTGATAATGCACTGAGACTCAACTAAAGTTTTCAGCTTTTCTAGAGTAGGAATTTTGCCATCAGCTTCATTTTTCAACTTGGCGTATTCCTACAAAGACAAAAATTTCTCATGTCATTAGGATGTCTTGAGATTACAAGATGTCTTTTTTCTACTATTTCTTACATACCTCATACTGTAGAGGTAATGAATTTGTTTGTTGCAAATGTTCCAGGTACTGAGTTTTTTGCAAAAGCCATGAAATGAATTCATTATATTCCGCTTCAATTGCTCCCAATGTACTAGATCCATCAGGTGTCTAAAATGGAAGAGCATAAAATTGATTCAATAACAAAAACTCCCAAACAAGGGCTAGTAGTTGCTTATCAGCAACTGGTCAAGTAGTTGCATGTACTCAGCAATTGGTCAAACATATTTAAATTAAATTAATATTATTCAAGAAATACTAATAACCAGTGGTGCAACAAGGACTTTTCTCTGAGAGGGGCTATAGGTGAAGTGACCAGCCAACTTAATGTTTCCTCACAAAGAGTTTTTCATTTATGTTGAATTAAAAATCTTATTTTTATTTGATAATTCATAGTTTTTAATGAAATATTCAATTGAACTAATGAATGACTTTTTGTACAGAAAATTAGTCCAATCTATAGTTGTGAATATGTGTTATCAGCTTCTGGAGGAACTGAAGCACCAACTCCGCTGATTTTATTATAATTCAAATTACAATTATTTTTATTCATAAAATCACCACCATTACCCATATACTAAGAGTGTCAAGGTTCAATTAAATTACTTCCAGACTTTCCTATTTTGTTCCTTTTTCATTGCTTGCATCCAATCTGCACCTTTTGCTCTTTAAAATGTCTGCAATCAGTTATTCCAAGTTTTATTTGGTTGGTCTTGAGTTATTTTTTTCTTCTGGTATTTGCTTTCCACACAACATTATCTGCCGTATGTTTTCATAGTGTTCAAACCGTGTCAGTGGATGAGCTTCAATTTTCATTAATATACCCTTAACATGCACCTATTTTCTAATTTCTGACATAACTAGTTTGATTGTTTGAAATCTTTACAGTATCTAATGCAATGTCTCATTGGCTCTTTTCTTATGTAGAGAGTTTTAATTTTCTTACACCTTACATTGTCAATATGTTTTCACAGCACTAAAGTGTTGTTGAGATTGCGTAGGGGTAAAAAATTTTGTTCAGAGTGTATTAGTTGGGTTTGTATTTTGCTTGAGTTCCTGAAAGAGTAAATTTTGCTGCTCCATTCAACCTCTTTTACTCATAGAGTTTTTCATCAATCTTGCTCTCTGTGCATTAGTAATATTCCCCTGCCTTTTAATGCAATCATTGTAGTTTATTTTTATGTGAATGGGGAATAACACAACACATGACACCTTGAGAATCACATTTGTCCCTACAAAAGCAAAATTAACTGGTAAGTAAACTTATGCACCAACTTTCAAATTTACTTTAATATTTCAAGTTTTATACCATCTATTCCAGGAACCTTTTCATTTTACATATTTTTCATACAGCATTCTAAGCTCTGGTAATGTTTCATCAGGCTTGACTCTCATTTAAATTCATAGTAGTAGATACACACCTACTATACATTGAAAAGTTGAAATGGTTGTGTAACTCTTAAATTTGTTTTGTTCTCATTGAAATTGTGTTCTCATTTCATTCCCATTGAAATTGTATTTTCATTTTCATATAATACCATCTATACAATTGTATTACTTATTTCCAATTCATGCAGAAATTGAAAGAAAACTATGCAGCTTCTGGCCAAGTAAGAGGTGTCTAAAATTTTGTTACATATCTGAGCACTTAGGAAAAAAACAAAAACAAAGAAATAGAAGTTTTGATTTCGACTGAAAATGCAAATAATTGACTGCGTTATTGCTCCTATTATACTGCACATACTTCCTGATTTCTCATACATCATTTGTATTTCCAGATTCATTTTGGAAATCTGTTGTTGTTCATTCTCTGTAAATGATCTTTCCATCACCTTTGAGACTATTCTATCTCTTCTATTAAACATTTGGTTTTCAATTTCTTTCTAATGTTTTTATTTCTTAATCTGTCTCTTCTTGTGATTCCCATGAGGTGTCTTAGAAATTTCATGTGTGCCGCCTGTTGTTTTTGTTTGCCTCTCTCTTTCATTACCCATGTTTCAGACCCTTCCATGATTCTAGGTTTAGCAGCTATATTGTGAAATTTCAGTTTTGTTTCTGGGTTTATGTGTCTGCTTAAGTGTCTCTTGATTGTTCCACATTTTCTATTGCAGTTATTAAGTTTATTTTCTATGTATTCCTGAGTTTGGTTGTATACACTTGATATTTCCAAGGTATGAAAAAGTATTTACTTGATCCACTAATTTTCCATTTATTACTATTTTGGCTCTCCTTTGTTCCTTGCCTTGTATTGCCATAACTTTTGTCATATGAATTGCTATCTTCATGAAATATTCTCGAACTACTTTTGCCAATTTAAACACTGCTCTTTGTAAAAAGTCTTCAGAATTCATTACAATAGATTGGTCATCAGCATACAAGATTGTATCTATCTTCTTGTCTTTTGTGATCGGTATTTCTTGTCTAACTTCCTTTCTCCAGTTTCTCACTAAGTGGTTAACATATATGTTGAAGAAGATGGGTGATAATCCACATCTTTGCCTTAAATCACTGTTGGTTGTTATTGCTGCTGACTTCTTTCCCTCTCTTAACAGTATTTAGCAGCAGGAACGCTTGGAAGACTAAGAATCTACCAAGAATACTGTCATAGACCAATAGAAATAGGTTATAGAGCCTATTTTCTGGTCAGTTCATGATGATGACTATTGTATTTCCAGAACTTAAAGATCTGTTTTCTCCCCTGAATCTCCAGCACTTGGGAAAATCACTAAGGTACAATGTTAGTATTAGAACAAGGTGAAATGTTCTATTACTTTGTAACCTAATAATACATAGGAAAAAGTATATGCTTTTCTGGCACCAGGAAGTGTTTTCATTTCTCTCCTGTGTTCTTAGTAAATAGAAATTACACAGGAAACAGCAAAATCTTTAATTTCATTTACTTGCTTCATATACATGTCTTATGACTGATTTTCAGTTTACAGTAGCTAATTTGTTCCTTTTTTAAACTAAATTCTGATGCAGTTTTGTTCCAACAAATGCACAGCACAATAAGATGGACACTCTCGTAGAAGAGAAGAAAAGAGACGCAACTAAAAATGAACAAAGTAATGGTAGTACCAACTTCACTGTATACGAGCAAGTCATGGGTATTGACAAGAAAGAAAAGTAGTAATATACAAGTTTCTGAGATGAGATCTCTTAGAGCAGTAAAAGGCTGTAGCCTCCTAGACTAGTTCAGAAACAAAAACATCCGAAAAGACCTCTACATTTTTTCATATAAGACAAAATAAAGGAGAAATGTTCAGCATGGTCACAACACCTACAAAGGATGGAAGATGATAGGCTCACAAAAGTCGCCTACTATTATCAACCAGCTGGAAAAAGAGGTCCGGGTCGACCAAGGCAATGTTGGAGTGAAGCCGGAACAGGCCTTCTGGCCTAAACCTTGAAAAAAAGATGAAGAAAAAGCAATAGAAGAAGAGGAAGAAGAGGAAAGAGGAAGAGGAGGAGGAGGAGGAGGAGGAGGAAGAAGAAGAAGCAGACGATGATGATGATGATATTTTGTTTCACGATTACATTTTCGTTAAAGTGTTTCTAAATTCAATGTTTCCTCGTGTATATAACACATATGCACGTGCACACACACACAAACAGACATATATTTGTATACTTGTACACACATATATATTTGTTGATATATATATATATATATATATATACTATTATATATAATATATATATATATATTTATATATATATAGTATATATATATTTATATTTATATTTATATTTATATATATATATATAGATAGATAGATAGATAGATATAGATATAGATATATATAATATATGAGCTTTGATGAGAAGAAAGGGCTATTTGACCTAGAATGAATTAACATTATCTGAAGTCCTTGAATAGAATAGAAAATAAATTAACTCTCTTGATTCATGTTATGTGCAATCAATCATAATCAAAACATTGGTGACTCATGAAATTACTTAAGTACATAGCGATATTGTAATATACTGAAATAAATACATTGTAATAAGTTGGTATATTGAAAAATAGTACTGATGGTATCTTTGTTATTATTAACTAGCTGAATTAATGTTATAGGTACTATTACTAAAAACTAGTTACAACTAATACATCACATATAATAAGCATCACACTAATATACAATTGAAACAACATAAAATGCTGAATTATAAAATATTGACAATCATGAATAAAGTAATTGTCAATTATTTAGTTTACATAATATAAATTACCCAATTATATAGAATATTAACCTAATGTTATCTGTGATTAATGATTAAACACCTATCATTTAATTTAACAATAATTCATTCATCATGAACTTTAATGATGTATTGTAATCACTGATTAATGTACTGATTAAATGGTGTATGACACCCTAATGATATGTCTCACATTTACACATCTTTGGTGTGTTAATACAAAGTACTACCTAAATCTTTAAGCTTCTGCTGACAGGTATTCATTTACAGAAGAGAAACAACCATCTCCAAAAATAAATCAATCTCTCTAAACTTAAAATCATCTTTCATTATTGTAGGCCAAAAAAAAATATTTTAGAAAATTTAATTATTTGCTGTAAACATTTTGGTAAGCAAAATTTCTTTTAAGAAAACAAGCTTAAAATATTACTCACCCGTGGTTCAGGATACTTGTGCAGAAACTGAGCCACATATGTCATTATTGATTTCTCATCTGGTCGAGGAACATCAACATCTTCAGGATCCAGAAGACGTGCAATGCCAAGCTCACTTTCAGCCACTTGGAATGCTGTCTCCAGGCGTGTCCTGTTGTTTGATTGTTTCAGAGCTGCCAAATTCACTAGATTTGATTTAATAGTGTCAATGATGCCAAGGAATGCATAGCCATCACGCCAACTAGCACCAAAATCTTTCACTTCAATTCCTAGATGTTTCGGTAACGCATTTGTTACCCACTGCATAAGAGCTTGTCGAGCTCCTTGACGTCGTTTCCCTTCTCTCTTGTCTTCAGATGCAGCTCTTGGTCCTAAGCTTTCAAGGCTACTTGTGCTACCACCAAATGAATGTCCTAATGATTCTAGAGCTCGTGTGTTTTCTTCTATCTGTAAAAGTAATAAATTTGCATTAGAAATGAAGAATAGAAATATATATGTAAAAATGTTCAGATTCCACTAATAGTACTAAGAGGCCAGACAGATTTCATTCACTGTCTAGTGAGTTTAGTGTTCTAAAATAACTAGTGAAACTATGTAATACACACCTGAATAAAAAACAACCAACAAATATACAGATTGTTCATTTCATTTAGGCAAAAGTGTGTAATAAGAGACAAATGTAGAACAGACATTACTACATAAAGAGAAATCTCTTCAGCAATCTTACTCACCGACTTGACTTCCTTACATCGTAGCTTGTATTGAGGAAGACAAAGCTTTTATTGTAATTTTAATAAATATATTGATGTTAGTATTTCAAAAAACTTATTTAATACATGTAACATTCTGTATATTCACTTATTAGTGCATATCAGTGAAATCTAAATCAAAGAGCAGTGTATCCTTAGTAATCAAATGACAAAACGAGCATATTTTTTTTGGATTTAGTCTCTGAAAGGACTCATTGTCCGAAATTACTCTATACATAAAAAAATATATAAGTAATAGAGTACTCCTACTAAATAAGTTTATAAAATGCTTATTTTTGAAATTACATACAAAAAATGAATGATTCAAACTAAATTAACAAAATATTTTTTTAGCTAGAAATTTATTTTACTAGATAAAGGAATTACAAACAATTACACAAATGTGTATATTCCACACGTTTGAATTATAATTCTTACATTTTTTATTAAAGAAAACAACAACAAACAGATATTAATGCTGCCTGTGCAATTAGTGAAATATTCACAATATTACAACAGCTTTAAATTGGCTATAAAAAATGTTATGCTATGGAAATAATTTTTAAGAGAGAATTCATTAGGTCAAATAACCAATCTGATAGTTAAATCCTAGTCTAAATCCTAAATTGGCAATCCTATGTGACATTATAGGTAATGTGTAGTAAATTTACTAAGGTTGCACTGCATGAGACCCATTGAAACACTACCTTAGCAGCAGAATTTCAGCATATAAGAAAGAGTATTTTTGTGTTCTGCTACCACTATAAGCTGAGACACTCATTGCTTTTTTATTTAGTTAATTACATGTTTAGTTTTAATATATATACATATATATACATATATATATACATATATATATACATATATATATATATATATATATACATATATATATATATGTATATATATATATATATATATGTGTGTGTGTGTGTCCCAGGTAATGCTTCACAAGGATCTTTAAAATGACTAGTGATCTGTGTGTTAATATTTAAAGGAAAATGTTTAAATGGCATTTTTTTAAAATATTTAAAAATTTAAATTTGCTCTATATGTTTTGTATACAGTTTAGTATTTAGCTACTGTGATTACGCAAAAATTTACTAAATCTAATTATGAAAGATCAGAAAATAATGGACCAGAAGTGAAACTTAAGGAAATAAAATAAATAAAACATAGCTACAATTGCAGTATCCCTTGTAAAATCATAATAAGCTATAAGATGATTTTCTCAAAAGGTAAAGAACTGAGTTAACAAAATTTTAGTTGATGTGTTTGGCAAATATCACACAATGGAAGCTCTTGTAAGAAATGAAAAGAATATTTACGTAACTTCATACCATCCAAATATTTAATAACTTAAGCATTTCTGTCTTGAAAATCCTAAGAATTTATTTGATTAGAATACTACATCTCATGTAGTATCCTAAAACAATGTTAGAAAAAGTAATTAAGTTATTGTAATGTTATGTACAATAGAACCTTGCTAATTCGAACCCTGCATATCCGAAATTTCAGATAATCAGACCGAAATTCAGGGAGGAAAAATAAACAATAAAATACTTATTTGCAGTGTAAAGAAAGAAGTTATCAACTGTAAAAGTGAACAACTAACTATTGAAATACAAGTTGTTGAAATGAAAGATTTATTGCACTGGTAACTACGGTGCACGGTGTATCTCATGTTTATGTCGCAGTAATTTTCACTTAGAGGAACTTTCAAAATCTGTACTATTTCACCACAAGGAACTGAATAAGCTTGATGATGAGATGTGATAATGTGATTGCTACCCTTCGTTGCCATTTTCTCACATTGCACTGTGTGTTGCATTACCTGGTAATCCTATAGATGTATTTGTATATGTATGGTACTACATTTTTTCAGATAATCTGAATATTTCTAAATCTGATTAGTTTGGATTACTGGAGTTTTACTGAATCATAATTAAGAAGAGTAAAATATCAAGCATGAAGGAAAGTATTAAAGATATTCTGGTGGTAAAAGCAGAAAAAATTAATGTTTAGTATTCTTTCAAACTATCTTTTCTTTTTGTTTTTCAAAATATTTTCTTATCATCTGGACTTAATGTTTGAAAAGTAATAATAAATAAAAAATAATAATAATAGTATGGTTACTGTAGCCAAACGATACACATTTTACCAAAGGGCAATGAGGCATATTTTCATATTTTATTTAGATATTTTTAACTGTTATTTGCATTTTAGTTACACTAGAATTAAAGTTACAGCAAAGGTTCTTAGAACAATAATTAACTGACACTAAAATACATCCTACGTGATTAATCATTTCCTTTTAAACTTTCTTTCAATTTCAGCTAAGTTTAAAAAAATTAAAAGTAATATTTATGTTCTTCAGTAAATACTATAGATAAAAGAGATTAGTAAGGAAGAATATAATATTAAAGGTGATCAAGTTCATAGTTTACTTTGAGTTATGTTCATTTTAATACATGCATATCACAAATGTCAAGTATACACACCTGGAAGTATAGAATAATGGTCCAAATAAGGCCTAAAACCACTGGTGGTCGGCCATCGACTAGATCTGAGGCATTGATATTTACAAGTTTTATCTGCAAAAACAAAAACAAAACATTAGATCATATTATTTTTATTCTGTAAACAGCTGGCATACATTGGTTCACAAGAAAAACGTCTCTTTGCTGTTTTCATACAAAACACTAGACTATTTTTCATAATCAAACTAGTACAGGTCTATAAATGTAAAAACGTCTATAAAAGTCGTCTATAAAAGTCTATATAAGTCTATATGTCTATAAAAGTAATACGTCTATCAAATAAATAAGTCTATAAAAACACATACTTTCTCGCAACATTTCTAACTGCTCTTCTATATCATACTGGACCGTTCGGACTGTAAAATAAAAAGAGAGGAAGAGGGAAACCTAGAACGAAAATTTTAGAACAACTTCAAACCGAACTGAACTTCAGAAACTATGCAGAGATTAAGAAAACGGAGAACAGAATGTCATGGCGTCAGCAACAA